AATCAATCTCTATGTATTTATAATATAAGTCATATTTTTATACCTTATGATCTGTTAGATCTGTATTTTTATAATTTTTTGTATCTATTTTTTTATCATCTATTATTTCTGTTGTAAATTGTGATACATTCTTTACATCTGAAGAACTATCTGTAGTTAAAGCTCCATCTAAAATTGGTAATACTTCATTATCATTCACAACCTCTTTAGATTGGTTTTCTATAATACTCTTATTACTTTTATTCTAGATTCATTTAATAATTGTTGTGAATCCAAAATAGGAATGTTTTCTTTAGTAGAAATTATATTATCTAAAAAGATGTAAGAGATTTAAATTTTTAGGATAATTTATTTCTTACTTCATATATACTTACCAATATATTGTCTTTCACAATGATTAGAATCCGAACCTAATTCTATAATTATATATAATTCGCCTGTTTTTATTTCTTTATTAACTATAATTACATGTTGTGCAGATTTCAAATTTTCACTTTTTATAATATTATTAACATTAATAGTACCATTTCCTAATTCAATTAATAATTTTTTGTTAAGATGGCGAACAAATATTTTAAATTTTATAAATGATCTTCTATAACATTTTAAATTTGATATTTTATATATATTGCTATGATTAAAATAGATCACTATAAATATACAACAATTAGCTATAAAAATTATATAAAATTACAAATATTGTATATTTAATATAAATTTACCTTGATTTGCTTGTTTTTTGGAACATATTCTTACAGTTTTGTTTTTTTTTTCAAATTCATCAGTATGATCAAATATTATATCATATTGAACAAAATATGTTGCAGATAAAAAGACGTCATCTTTATCTATAAATAAATATATATTTACTTTGTAAAACAAAGTAGTAAATTCTTATTTATATATGTATTTTTTAAATTTACATACGTGATATTGAAGAAGATTTTACACGTCTATAACCTGCAGGACTTAAAGTAAATGATTCTATATTAATTTGAATATAAGTAATAAAATCAAAAAGTTTAGTATCTGAAATAGAAAATAATATTTATTAAATTAATAAAATTTATAATGCATTAATTATTATTATTATAAGCAATTAATTAACCTTTTGAATTAATATACAATCTTTTATCTGAAAATGTGTCTTTCATTAAAGAATTCATTCTTGTAGAAGATATATTATTTATTGTACTTTTGTTATCATATTTAGAAATTTTTAGACTACTAGATGTAAGATCTATTAAACTTGAATTCAAAGATGTTGATGCATATGTTTTGCTTTCATTAGATGACATCATATCTTTATTCAATTCATGTAATTTTACTTCATTATCTATAGAAATATTAGTTTGTAATTCATTATTTATCGAATTATCATTAAAAATTAGCTCATCTTCATCATAAGTTTTTTTATATAAAGCTCCTCTGAGTTGTTGAGCTTTTGTAACAATCTGAGCAATAATTTTATCTGTTATATCATTTTTCAATTTATTGACAGGTTCTTGAAACTCTGTTCTTTTCAATTTTAAAATAGATTTATAAGTATCATTTTCTTCTGTTATTTCTTTTTTATTGCATTTATTAGTCATTATGTTATCTTGATTTTTAAAACTATTACTATTAGTTGAGATTAAAATATTATGATCAGTTTGTTTTTTTTCATATTTATGTGTCTTTAATTGCATATTAAACGATTTTGTCATATATTTTAATTTCATAGAAATATGAATTTCTCCTATTTTAGTTCCATAATTAGTTATTATTGGTACATATTTAAAATATGATTTATATTTAAGAATCTGTAATAAATCTGTGATTTGTGAAGTTCCAATAATTTTATTGGTCTCTTTACTAATAATTATTACTTCTACAGGTTCACAATTTTTAATATATTCTTCAAAAAGACTTATATTTGTACGAATAGCATAAATTTCAGTTGTTTCCTGTTGTGATCTTATATCTTTTGTAATATCTATTGGTCTGTAAAAAATGTTTTTACATTTTAAAATATATACAATAAAGGATGAATTTAAAGATAACTAAATAATTTAATCTATTATTATAGAAAAAATTTATATAAACCAAAAAATAATATATAAATTAAATTAAAATAAAAAAATTCATTTAAAGATTTAAAAGTTATTATTAATTTAATTTAAATTTTTTTAGTTACTTTATTTAACAAAATATTTAACAAAAGATTTAACAAAATTCTTTATCTTACCTAAATTCAGTTCTATCAGTTTCTCCCCACCAAGTTAAAAATATTTTGATTTCACTAAAATTTCTTTTTGACCAAATAATTTCATCTATAACAAGTTTTAAGTAACCATGAATTTTGCCTTCAACTAATGGTGGTAAAGATTTTTGAAATTTCATTTTCGTACCCATTTATTTTCTGCACGCATTGTTATGTTGTACATTTATTTACATTTATCACTGATTTAGGTTAGGTTTAATATTAATAAAATATACAAAAGTATAATTAGGAATTATTAATTTGGATTTTTCATCATGACTGATATATTAAAAAATTAAATGTTAATATTGATACTATTATATCTTCAATTGTTGTTTATAAAATTAATAGAAAATAATTCACATTTAATCTTAATTTAAAAAAATATTTGCTGCCATCTATTTAAAAAAAACATAAATTATAGAACTATTTTTTCTGCATACTTAGGATTCCTTTATATTTAAATAAAATATTTAATAAATATTTAATTTCAAATGACTATTTGCATAATAATTTGATAATATTAAAATATTATTTATATATATCTCTCAGTTTTACATAAAAAAAGTGTATAGTTTTTAAATTAATATAACATAATAACCTATAATAATAAAATATATAAAACCTAAAATAAATAACTTGTTTATTAAAAATCTTGATAATATGATTACACTGCTAATATTTGAAAAATATATAAAATATCAGAATATATTTAATACAAAATTTATTAAAAATAATTTATTCTTAGCAAATTCAAAATATTTGTTTCATATGTCATATAATTTTTCAACCTTGAATGATAAAAAATCAAAAAATCTTTATCATCATTTATATTCAAAAATATTAGCTTGTGGTCCTATTACAGTTGCTGATTATATGAAAGAGGTTTTAACTCATCCAATTATAGGATATTATATGAATAAAGATGTTTTTGGAAAACAGGGTGATTTTATAACATCACCAGAAATTTCACAATTATTTGGAGAAGTATGTAAGTCTAATTCTTTAAAAATTTATATTTGAATTATATTATTTTAATATATAGTCTTTGTTTTAATTATTTATTTTAATTTAAATTAGATGTTAGCTGTTTGGATGAAATATGAATGGCAAAAAATTTCAAAAGATTCTTTTCAAATTGTTGAATTAGGTCCAGGTAGAGGAACTTTAATTAAAGATATACTGCGGGTATGATTTTTATATTAAATATATATTAAAATAATTATTTTATTAATTTATTTTTATTGTATATGTTACATAGGTATTTAAACAATTTAAATCTCTAAATGATATATCAATACATTTGGTAGAAGTTAGTCCAATATTATCCCAGATTCAAGCAAACAATTTATGTAAAACAATTATAGAATATGATCAAAAAAGAAATAAATCTAAAAATAATTCTATCAGTTACTATAAAGAAGGTATTACGGAAGATGGAATAAAATTATATTGGTATCGTTCTATTAAGGATGTACCTAAGAAATTTAGTATATTTTTAGCACATGAATTTTTTGATGCATTACCAATTCATAAATTTCAGGTATATTAAATTATAATAAAAAATTTAAAAATAATTTATTAATAAGTTATGTACATATATATTATTTACATCTAGAAAATTGACAATGAATGGAGAGAAGTTTTAATTGATATAATTCAAGGATGTAATGAAGAAAAATTTTGTTATGTATTATCAAATACACCAACTCCTGCTACCTTGTTTATATCGGTAATATTATTTGTATTTTTTTCAAGAGAATAGAATAATATGTAAAATAATATTTAATAAATATTTTGCAGAATGATGAAAAAAGAGAACATATTGAAATTAGTCCAGAAAGTTTGATAATAGTGGATTATTTAGCAGATTTTTTATGGGAATGTGGTGGATTTGCTCTGATTTGTGATTATGGTCATAATGGTGATAAAACTGATACTTTTCGTGGATTTTCTCAACATAAAATACATGATCCATTATTACATCCAGGAACTGCAGATTTAACAGCAGATGTTGATTTTGCAGCTATTAAAAAAATTGCAGAAAAAAATAATAGATTAATAACATTTGGACCACTGAATCAATCAAATTTTTTACAAAATCTTGGAATTAATATAAGATTGCAAATACTCTTACAAAATGCTTCAAAAGAAGAAAGAAAGTCATTAGAATCTGGATATCACATGATAATGGATAAAGACAAAATGGGAATTCGTTTTAAAGTTTTATCACTATTTCCTTCTATTTTGAAAGAATACTTTAAAAAGATACCAGTAGCAGGTTTTTTTTAAACATAAATAATAAAATAATATATTAAACGAAATATTGTGATATTATATAAATATATGTATTATAAGATTATATGCATTTATATATTTAAAATTAAATTATGTAAATAATATTTTACTAATTTAAAATGAGATTTTCTAAGATTAAAATAAATTTATAATAAAATTAAAACTTTATGATTATGATAAAAAAAAATTATTCAATATATTAATGTACCATACGTCTGAATAGTCAATTTTAATTAAGCTTAATCTTAGATTTATTAAGCAAATTATTTTATTATTATTTATATTGTTATTATTTTATTATTATTTATATTATCATTATTATTTTATTATTATTTATATTATATTATTATTATTATTTAATTATTATTTATAATTGTTATGAATGGATAAACTAACGTAATTGAGCGTTTAACTTCTGAACCCATAAGTGTTATTTGTTATAATTAATAATATTGCAATATAATTTTTAAACAATATTGACAATAATAACCTAACTAATTTTCTACTATGCAAATACTGTAATAATAAAAAAAAACTAGTAGATCAAATTTGCTAATAAGAATATGTATCTATTTTTACATGTAGTTTCATAATTAATTTTTTATTTCATATTCATATTTTTTCCATATTTTTAAAAATTTTAATACTTTTTCATGTTGCTGATCAACATTTTCTTTTTTTGGTTTCCGCCATATATTATGTTTTAAATCTAACATTCCGCCTATAATTTCCTACAAAAAATAAAATATTTAATATTAAAAAAATGATCACAAAATAATCATTTATCTATATTTAAAGTCATATTTAAAAAAAAATTACCTCTGCAAAATTCTTTGAAAACATATGCTCATCTTCAATAACATGAGCATATCCTTTATTGTTTCAAATTCTACCATAAAATATGACAGACCATTTGGAATAGCTTGACGTATATCTTTATGTTCAAGATTTATTATTTTTTTGTTCATTGACCATTCTGTTTCACATTCTAATAAGGCTTTCTACAAAAAATATTATATTTAATAATTCAATAATTCAAATATATTTGTTATTTATGTATATATTTACTTTAAAATATATTGGCGCTAATTCACCAATTTCTTTTGGTATTGGAATACATTCCAATCGCATATGTGAAAATTTGTAAGAACTTTTGTATATTTCATAAAACACTGGATATTGATTTTGATCCATAAACATCTTGTATAAAACTCTTTTAAATAACTGAAAATAAAACAATTATAAGAAAAAATTACATTATTAAAAATTAAAATTATATCAGATAACAATATCTGAAAAATGTTTTACCTTAATTTTTCCCAAATATTTTCGTCTAATTGTAATTGACAAGCAATATGTTGTAAAGGTGTTATTATACAATGTCCAATAGTCAAAGAAGTATATTGAGGAAGACTTAAACAAATTTCAGAATCCATTGCAATAATCATATGTTTCAACATATATTTTGAATCAATACACCAGTGACAATCATCTAAACTTTTTGATAAATGTTTATGTTCTTTAATAGCAATTAAACGATCTTTCTCATTCTGTTTTTTATCTGTCTTAATATATGTAATATGTTCTTCAAATATCTCATCCATATCTAGACCCTACAATAAATTATTTTATAAATTTATCATTTTATAAAATATTTCTTAAAATAAATTTTATGATATACCTTACAAGCAGCTTTCATAAATGTTGCATCATCTTCATTTGTAGATCTTCCTTTTTCTTTTTGGAACTAAAAAATATTAATGATTTAATCAATATTATTAATTGTAAATTTTATTTTATAAGATTTATTAATTTAATTATTATTAAATTTTAATAATTACTAATTATTATTTATACATATTTTATAGAACTTACTAATTTTTGTAATGAATATTTGTCATCATCAAAATAATGTCGCACTTTCTTTCCAAGAACATGTGTCTCTGCATTTTTTCGTTTCATATTTTGCAAAGATTCTATAGATTGAGTTCTGGGTTCTAATGGTCTTGTAATACCTATTACATAATTTAATAAATTATTTATATTATATATAATGAATTTATTATTTTTAATACCTTTTGCATCAGTTTGTGTTAAAATTATATCTGGAATTTTTTCTATATTGCATATTTGTGTATTTTGTATAATTTCTCTAGCTTTTTGTAATTGCATTTTTAATTCATCAGCAAGTTTCTAAAAAAATATCATGAATTTCTATAATTTTTTAATATATATAATATTAATATTTATTAATATAAAAATCTAATATATATAACGTACAATATTACCCATTATTTCAGCTTTAACAATTTTTGCTCCTAGCTTATTCATTTCTGCTTCTGTCAAAGGTTTTATTTCTATATTTGTATCATCATTACAAATGTTTTTTAATATAAGATTATTTGAACTAAATTCTTTTTCAATATTATTTGATATTTTATATTTTAAATTCTTTCAAGTAAATGGTTTATTTTGTTTGAATGATTATTAAAATAATCATCATTTATTGGCATTTTATATTTTTGTTTTTGATCATTTTCATATTTTGAAGTAATATTATCATTTTTATATTGATTATTTTTGTTTGAATTTTGTATATAATTTGAAAATTGTCTATTTTCATATTTTTTAATATTATTATATTGATTTTCAAATTTGGATGTATTTTTTATTGGCGATTCTTTTGATTCAGATATCATTGATTCTATCATTTCTAAAGGCTATATAAATTATTATAATATATTATAATAATATTATAATAATATTAATTATATATAATAATATTATAATTTTTATATTTTAAAATCAATTTTATTTAACTGATTTATACTTACACCCCATCTCTCAGCTACAATGTCTTTTAAATTTCTATTTTGACTTTCTGCTTGTTCCTTTGCTCGTTGGAGACCTTTTTTTAACCAATTTATATCTATTTTTTGTTGTGTATTTATTGAATTTTTTTCAGGGAGACCATTACCTCCATTTTTCCAATATGGATTTAATTCTTTCTTATTTTGAATCAATTTATTCATATCAGATTTATCAATATTTTTATCAGAATTAGAAAATTCTTTCTTTTTTTCACTAAACACACATGGAAATATACCTTTTATATTCATCCAATCCTCTCTTTTAGAAGATTCCTCTTTTTTTGATGTAGTAGATAGATTTTGTTCTTTGAATAAGAATTCACATATTGGTTTTTCTACCCATTCCTGTTCTTCTTCGTTTGTACTCTAAATAATTTATTAACAAAAATAGAAGTAAAATGTGATGCAAAAAATAAGTAAACAAGTACAATATTTAATACTTACACTATTAGAATCAGATTCTTTAGATTTATTTTTATGCCTTCTTTTTTCTTTTTTTTTTGATTTTTTTCTTTCATATTTAGATTTATTTTTATATTTTTTATGCTTCATTATTTTTTACACAAATATGCTTATAAAAACTCTAAAAGCTAAGATTCGTGATTGCTAAGCAATAAACATGTCATGTTTTCTATATAGTTATCAGGATTACCAAAAATGGGGAAAATATGGCTGCATAGAGAATATTTTTAATTCAATATATATATATATATATATATATATAAACTTTTAACAGAATTTTAATTTGAAAAAGTAATAGTTATAAATATAATTGTAATATATTAAAAATATTAAAAATTTTATTGATTTTTGTGATAAATATTTCTAAAATATATAATTTATTACAAAATGTTTAATCATTAAAATAATTATTTTATTAATAAAATTTATAACTTATGCATATAATAAAAAAGTACATATCGATGATATAAATATAATTCTGAACATTAATATATGAAATTTTTTTATGCAAATAATACTAAACTATACATAATTTAACCAATCAATAAAGATTACATACTTAGTTGCCGCGTAGATTTTGCCGCGAAAACGTTACATTCGTTGTTTATAAGATAGTAATTATAACGTTAAATATTTGTTGGTAATTTTAACATTGTAAGTTAAAAGTGATTTTTAATTGTTTCAATTATTTTTTCTATTGTAATATTAATGTGTTATAATTAATGTTAATATAAAATATTTCATATCAAAAAATATTTTGTATAATGTTTATTATTTTATCATTTTTGATATTAATTTACTTATTAATTAAATTTGTAAAATAAAAGCATGTATAAGAATGTAAAACATTTATTAATTTCTTTTATTTAAATATTTATTAATATCCTTAAATATCTAGTATTATTTACAGACAAGACAAATATAATAAAACAGATTCAAATTATTAGAATTATTTAAACAAAATTTCATTTATATTATTTATTATCAAATTTTATTGTCAAATGAAAAATATTAAATATAAATTATAAATATAAATTTATTTATTGTAAAAGAATTATATCCTATAATCTTTATAATTATATTTTGTATTTGTTTTATGTATGTTTTATATATAATATTTTTTAATTTTAGATAAATTTATAAATAATGATTGAATCTGATCAAAGTGATAAAGAAAAACAGGATGAAATGTCACCCTTAGCAATTTCTAATAATTCTGTAGATATAAATGAACATGGAAAAAAAAGGTTACGAGAAGAAATGTCAGAAAATCAAACATTAAATGTACCTTCTAAAAAACTATGTGTAACCATTGATGGAACAAAATCTGATAAATATGACATTGAAGATATTTCAACATTAAATACTGAAGAAATAAAAGATAATATAAAGAATATAAAAATTGATAATAAAAAAGATAAAATAATGTTAGAAGAAAGTACAAGTGAAACAAAAGATTCATATATTGAATCTAATATTAAAAATAATGAAATATCAATTAATGATGAAACTGAAATTAAAAAAGAAGAAGAATCTAATATTTCATTAGATATAAAACAGCAGGTAATAAATTTAAATGAATAGATTATATTATTTAATTTCAACTCCTATAATTATTTAAGATGTTATATTTTAATAATTTTACATTAATTTTTTTATGGAAAAGGAAAATGTACATATGGAATCTATAATAAATCTCAATGTAGAAAATGTTACAATAGAAGAAACAATGGAAATGCTTGATAAGGAAGATAATGTTAAATCAAAAAAAAAAAATAAAAAGTTTCAAACTGAAGATGCTGAGGTTGTAGAAGGTTTGGAACTTTCTGTAGAATGTGCTAGTGATAAAGGATCTTCATCTTCTTCTGAAAGTGAAGATAGAAATAAAAGGCAATTTATGCCCAAAACTATAATTATCAAAGCAAAACCTAATGATTCTGAACTTGAAATTAGTTCTTCAGAAGAAGATAAATCAGATTCACAGAATATATCTAAACTGAAATTTAAGAAAACTATAAAAGGGAAAAAAAGAAATAGAACATCTTTCAGTGCAACAAAAAATACTGATTCTGAAGAAAATAATGATGATAATTCGGATGAAGATTATAGTCCAAAAACTAAAAAGAAATTTAAGAAATCTACAAAATCATCTATAGAATCAAAAAAAGAGTATAATAAACCAAAAAAGGAAATAAAAAGATCAAATGAAAATTTAGATGGTGAAGATGAAAATTCTAATATAACAGAAGAGCTAAAATCAGAAGAAAGTATATCTGATATAAAATCAGGAAAAAGCAAAAGTGAAAATGAAAGTGAAGACAGTGAAGATACTTCTAGTGATGGAAAAAGAAAGAAAAGTATAGTAAGTTTTATTAAAATATATATATTAAATTTCTTATATATTTTTAAATTGATGTTTCTGTATTTTTTTAGAAAACTGAAGATGACAAAAGAATACAAATGTTGAAAAAATACATTAGAATTGCTGGAATACATGTAAAATCTTATAATGATCTTTGGGCTAATTGTAAATCAAATACTGCAAAAATAAAGTGTCTCAAAGAATTATTGACAAAAAATGGAATTATTGGCAGACCAACTGTAGAAAAATGTAAAAAAGCTAAAAAAAGAAATGAAAGACTTAAAGATGTTGCTGAATTAAATACAAGCAATATTATTTCAGAAGGTTTGTAATTTTATAAACTTATCAAATATTATAAATATTTTAATGAGAAAAATTTTAGGACGTATCACACGTGCTCAAAGAAATAAAGATCCTAATAAAGAATCAATGAAAATATCTGAAACACCTACAAAACATCGCGAAACACGTAATACATTTAAAAGAGTTTTAACTGTTATTGACAGTGATTCAGAATAAAATATTAATGATTGAAATTTATTTTGGGGGACCATTAATGTTTTATCTATTTTTGTATCTATTGATTGTTTTTGAGAAAGAATCCTAGAATATTAGTTTTAGTTAGAATCTCATGATATTAAAAGTTATTAAAATTATTGTATATGTTAAATATAATATTGTTGTGTATGTTAAATATAATATTCAATGTTAATTTAATAACTGTTCTTTGTGTTTATATTTAGATTCTTATATCTATAAAGTAAAGTTAATAAAATTAGAATAATTTTCAGGTATTGTAAATCCAATGTAAAAATAATTAATTATTTAATTATATTGAATTAATTTTAAATAAACGTTTATTTCTTATTAACATTACAGATGACATACTTCACATACTTCATCTTATAATTTTTGATATCAAAATTAACTATTATTTTTGGATTCTCTTAAATCTATATTATAAAAATAGATAAAAAAAATTAATGCTTCTCTAAAATAAACTTAATCATATATTTTTGATTTGTTTACTTACCTTATTATGGTAAGTATATTCGCTGTATTTATTTTATGTATATTAAAAAAAAACAATAATTTCATATATTAGTAATTAATAAAATAGGATAGGATAAATAATAAAATGTAAAATTACAATATTTTAATCTATTTTGAAATACACTAAAAAAGACAAAAATTATGTTATAATATAAAATTATATTATTTAGATATATATCATTATAATTATATATATAATTCTTATATATATAAGAATAATAAATAATTTTAATTTTATATATATAAGAATTATTTATAATAATAATATAATAATAATATAATAATATAAAAATCTTAAAAATTTTATAATTGATTTGAGTTGATATTTTAAGTTACCTAATAATGTCTTAATATTTTTGATTATGATTTTATTAAAATTAATTTGTTTTACACAATATAAAATATATAAAATATGATCAAAATCAAAAGAATAGAACATTCTTTATTATCTTACTAAAAATATTTAATTTTTAAATAAATGTAGTATTTATAGAGTTCTAAATATTATTTCTGAATTAAACTTAAATAAAAATAAATATTAAAATAAGTAATATAATTTTTAAATATAATTTATTTTATATATATTATTATATATAATAGCATATATATATATTATTATTTAAAATTTTATCAAAAATTGACAGATTATAATTGACATAATACTTTAAAATAATTTTTGATTACATATCTTCTTTTTCCTACATAGTTTATATTAAACATATTCTAATAATTCCTTAATAAAAATATATGTAGATATCGTAAATATAATATAATGTAACATTTTTATTTAAAAAATATTATAAATTTTCAATAATAAAATATCACAAAAAGAGATTGAGATTAAATAATAAAATAAAATTAATTTATATATTATTTTTTTTAAGATTTAAAATATAATGAATGTAAGTATGAATATTTATTTAAAAAACGAATTAGATATTTAATAAAAATATATTTTTTATTAAATATATTATTTTAGATATGATTCTATCAACTCTGGTATGGAATATATTTTATAACAAAATTAAAAGAAAAGCAAAAAATATAAGAAAAATGAATAAAAAGTTATTAAAAATAGAGTACAAAAATACATATACTATTTTACTATTATTAATTTGCTATTTTACTTAATTTGTGAATGTAAAAAATTAGAAATGCATTCCTTACTACAAAATATTTTTTTCTCTTTAACTGCAAATTTGCTACTTAATAAATTTTTATTGCATATATAACAGCAAAAACAAGCTTCTGTTGCATGAAAATTTAAATCCTTAACAGCAACACCTTTTTGATCAGCAGCAATTATCTTCTTACATAAGTTACATGTTTTTGCATATGTTTTTTGATAACACAAAAGACATAATGGACGATCATTCTCTGTAATATATTGTTTTCCAGCTAATGGAACATCACAATCCCAACAGCAAAAATGTTTTACATGATAATTATGACCTTCTGCAACAGTATATTCTCGTACAAAAATAAGCTAAAATATAAAAATTATTTTAAATTATTAATAAAAGTAAAAAAAAGTTTGTAGTACATAGAGAATACTAAATAATAAATAGCAATATTTTAAAATTTTAGTTTGTATTATACTTACTTCATCACAAGCAAAACATCTAGGAATTCCTAATAGCGTTGCTAAATCTCTACCACAATATAATTTATTTTTATAATAAAAGTATACTAAATCTACTAGTAATTCATTACACATATTACATACAAAACATCCTGGATGCCATACTGTATTTTTAGCTTTTTCTGTAATTATGGCAACATCACCAACATGAATTTCTTCCTTACATTTATGACATTTTTGTAATTTAGAATTTATTGTTAATTGATCCATAACATTTTTAAGATGTTCTGCATTTATAAGATCTGATTGTTTTGCTATAGAAATAGTTTCATACGGAAAAATTTGGTTTTCCAGTTTTTCAGAATGAATAACGGTGGAAGGTGTTGTAAAGCTATTTAGTGTTGCTTGATAATTATTGATATTAGAAGTCTGCAATTGTGATGATGAAGCTGACGAAAGAAGTGGATTTTCCATCATTTTCGAAGAAGTTAATGATTTATTTTCTTTTGAATTTTCTATATTAAAAGTTTCTGTAGAATCACAAGTATTTTTTTCTATATTTTGGAGTTTTTCTTTTGATGGAATTAACATTTCAGAATTGTTTACAGTAATAGCAACTATTTGATCAGTTTCTTTATTAATATTTATGGGAATATTTTTATTTTGCAAATTATTTGAATCTAAATTCTTTGCAAAATTGGAAATATTGATTTGTTTTTGATTTTCTTGATTACTATATTTATTTGTAAGTTTTTCACGTATATACATTAGACTTTTCTCATCTAATGTACTTTTAATTACATCAGTTGTATGTACATTAGATGGTAATAAAGCATCTACTAATAAAGTTTCAACATCAATATTATGATTGATTGATTTTGAATTTAATGGAGAAGTAGATGGATTTTTGAACATATCTTTATATGCTTCTTTATAACATTCAGGTGGATTCCAAGGTAATGTTATTTTAGAATTTGTAACTACTGTATCATTTACATTCAGATTTTCAGTTGTTACATTTTTTATATTTTGATTATCATTTCTAGTACTTTCATTATCATTGCTGGTTATATTATATTTCTCAAAAATTTGATTATCTTTAATATTACTATAATTATTTGGTGTTTCTAAAGCACAAAATTCATGGACATTTATATTTTCATGCATATTTTTTTTATATGAACATTTTGGAGCAAAACTACTTGGCGTACGTAATTGTACAAAACTTGGTGATAAATTAAGTTTATTTTGTGGATTAAAACGTTGCATATCAGTAGCATTCACAGGTGTTACTAATGATCCATCATATGGACGAGCGCTTAATATCTATAGCATAAATATAAATATACTTATTAAGAAAATAAAATAAAATAATTAATCTTATATATTAATTAATAAAATTAATAATTTTGTTATAAAAAATAACTTATCTTTGTTATAAAAAAACAAATATAAATATACTTACACGTATAATATAATTCTTATATTAATCAATAGATTAAATTTGTTATAAAAAATAACTTACCTTTGTTACTATTCCTTGTCCTACATATCTTTTTATATTTTCTAAATATTTTTCAAACTGTTTTTTTTCTTGATCACTTAATTTATCACAACTATAATCTATATCATGAAGAGGTAATTGCTTTTGTAATAATTGTCTTCTTAGAGCTGCACCAACTGATCCTTTAATAGGTAACTTATCTACAGGTAAAGCTCTCATATAATCTATTGCAAGTTCTTTTGTTGTATTTGGTGGTATCCACTCAAATGCTTCTTCTATATATTTCTTTCCATCATTTATATGTAATACTAGAAAGAATTTAATACTAATTCTTTAACATATATTCTTTAATATATATTTTTTTAAATATATATGATTTTTAATAATATTTACATGTTGATTTCTTCTTATATTTTTTTGAGGTTCCAAACAACAAATCAAATTGTGGGAAATCATCATCATCAACATCATGATCACCTTTATTGCATTTACAGTTTTTACAAATTTTCCTCCAAAAATGTAAATCTAAACCTGGGCATGCTGTTTTGCAAAGAACACAAGGTGCTCCAGCTCCAGCTTCATGTGCCAATCGTGGCTATATAAAATAATTATAATAATTTAAAAATTCTCTTAAACAATTAATTTATTGATAAGTAATTTTATTCATTAACTTTCAAAGAATTATAAATGGTTATAATTGATATATTCAAATATAATTTATTAAAATTTAATATAATAATAGTTATATTTTCTTTTTTAATAATTATAATAAATATAATAAATGATAAATATGATAAGTTACAATAAAAAATTATTTTGAAAAAAATATTCTTTTTTAGTATATTTAGAAATTATTTTCAATTCTTACCTTTCTTTTTCGATTTTCCAATTCTAGCAACCATTTCGGACGATCATTTATATCCATATTATTCATTTTTAATTAATTTTTTTTATTATATTATATAATATAAAAATAAATATTAAAGAAATAAGTATTTCTTGTAGTTACTTGACACTTGCACAAATGTGTGACTCATCACTATGATCCAGCAAGTACTTATGTTTTTCCCCCTCTACATACTATACTTGATGCTAAGAGAGATTCACGCATACTAAAATATTCTTTCAAAAAGCTTTCACATATACATACTATATACTAATATGTATAAGCTACTTTCATACATACACATGCTATACATATATTATTTATCATATATTTATCAATATTTTCATAATGATATATCAAATACTTTTCCTATTTGAAAAACAAATAGAAGAAAAAAATAATTTCAATAGAATACATTCAAATAGATTTCTTTAATATATATTTTTGATTATATATTACTTTTAATTTTCATGGAAAAATTTAATTAAACAAAAAAAAATATATTTTAACAAAAATAATTTATTTTATTTTAAGTACTATTGTTATATTAGTAAATAAAATATACTGTAAATGAAGTATGATAATATATATAATAAAATATTAATGTAAACTACTTTAAATATTCTATTGTTTTCATGTACATAATAAATATTCTTATAAAATAATAGAAAGTTATAAAAAAATAATAGAAAGATTTGTTCAAAACATAATATTAATATATAATATATATTGTTTACCTTTTCTTTATTTATTGATAATATTTTCTATATATAAATATACATAATAATAATATTTTTTGTAATTATTTATTTATTATTTAGTTTAAATTTTTTAGTCAATTCCAAAAGCAGCATCAAATTCTTCTTGAGAAATCTAAAATAATTATTACTTAGAAATATATATTGTATTATTATAATATTTATAATAATTAAATTATAATATTTAAATAAATTTTTATTTCAAAGATTGTGTTAATATTACCTTCTTTTTTTTTAATTTCTTAATTAATGCTATATCTTTTGCTAGATCTTCAATGTCTTGTTCATTTATTTTTCTTTTTTGTTTTTTTGCTGAGTTTACTAACATTTTTTGTTTTAGTTTTTTTTCTTTTCTTCTTTTACGATTTTCTTGTCTTTCTAGTTTTTTCTTTTTAGCTTCAGACCATGGTTCTGTTTGTTTGCGTTTACTTTTATGTATCTTAGGCCATATTCCAGTATCTCGAAAAATTTTTAACTTTTCTAAGCGACTTTTTTCTTTTTGTTTATCTGAATATGCAATGGAATTTATATCAACATGTTCTTCTCCAAAACTTGATGTATCTTTTCCTTAAGTTCTGGCATACGAGGCATTCGCAATAAACCAAAACTCATTGCAAGCTTTCCTAAATCAATATCTTTCAATCTTAATATTAAATTACATTCATGTTTATTATATGCTTGAATATATGATACAAATGCTCTATTAGCCTTATCAAAAAGAAATCGATCTTGTTTTTGTAAATCTCTCATACATTTTAAGCACTTTTCATATGAAATTATGGATGATTCCAAAACTATTTGTTGTATTTCTACTTTTTGATTTCTTTTAATAAAGTCTACATATGCATCTTCGGTTTCTAAAAGGAATAATAATGCATTTCCTTCATTACCTATCCTAGCAGTTCTTCCACATCTAAAGAAAATATAATTATTAATTATAACAAAATTATTAATAAATAAAAAGACTTAACCTAAATCTTTTACCTATGAATAAAATTACTAGCTGAACAAGGAGGATCATATTGTAATACCCAATCCACTTCTAAAATATCAATACCACGAGCCATTACATCTGTGCAAATTAAAATACCAGTTTTGATGTTTCGGAATTCATTAAATATTTTATATCGCTTATTTTTCATTTTACCATGAATTGCAAATACTTGCACAGATGGCAACATTCTAAAATAGAAATATTATAAGATTATAAGATTTATTTTAATTAATATTATTATTAATATTATAATGTTTAAATAACTTACGCTTGTACAATATGATTAAAATAATCAACACATGCACAAGTAGATAAAAAAATCATATACTTTAAATTAGTTCCCTTATGCTGAATAAAATCTATCATTGTAGAAAATTTGTATTCAGTATTTACAATAATAAAATTATTTTTTAAATTTGATGGTGTAGAAATATTTGGTTTTTCTTTAACAGTTATCAAAGATGGATTTCTAAGACCAGCTCTTATTAATTGTTGTAATTCTTTTGTTTGAGTTGCAGAAAATAAACCTGTTCTTCTAAGACGTGGTAAATAAGAAAAATTGTATCTAATGCTGTAGAAAAACCTAGATCTAATAATCTATCAGCTTCATCTAAGATCAATATTTCCTATAAATAATATTGTTATAAATTCTTCAACAAAATTATTTTAAAAATGTTTAATGTTTAAAAAATTATATTTTAATTACCAAAGATTTTATATATGCTGCTAGATTTATAATTTTACAGTTAGATAATATATCTTCTAATCTACCAGGTGTAGCTACAATAATATTTGCTCCTGCTTTAAGTCTATCTGCATCTTCTGCAATTGTTGTACCACCGACAAGTAATATTTGTTTTAAATTTGGTATATTGTTTAAAAACTTCTGTAAAACTTCATTTATTTGTACAGCTAATTCTCTTGTAGGGCTAATTATTATTCCTCCAATTTCTGTAGGTTTCCATTTCTCTTTTCTTTTCTATTTTGAATTTAAAAAATATTATATATATAATTATAATATAATATTATATATATTAATATATATATAATATATAAATTTCATATAATACCTGTAATATTTCTAATAATGGAACTAAAAAAGCAATTGTTTTTCCACTCCCTGTTACTGCTTCTGCTGCAACATCTTTTCCTTTTAATAATAATGGTATAGAAGCTGCCTGTATATAATTAGAAAAATTATATTAATATTTAAGTTTAATTTAATTTAAATATCATTTTATTAAAAAGAATATAAATTTAAAATCTTTCTTTATATTTATTTTTTACCTGCACAGGTGTCATATAAGTAAATTTTAATTCTTCAATAGTTTTAAGTACAGAGTCGCTTAAAGGCAATTCTCTCCAATTTTGTGTTTTCATTATAAATTATAAAATTTTTTTGAATTAAGAAATTAAAAGAGATATAATTCTATTTTATTCTTAATATTAAATATTTATTTTTAAGTAATTTTGATTTATAGGTTATATTGAATATATCGTTACTAATATAGTTCATGAATGAGATAATACATAGGTTATCTTAATAATTTCATTATACATTTTTAGATTATTTACATATATGAATTTTTTACTTTTTCAATTTCTTTATTATATTTTATTATTAAAAGCTTTGTTCTATTTTAAATATTATAAATTATTATTAAACTGAATATGAAGGATACAAGGATATCTATATAATATAATAAAATATATATAATTTTTTACGATTAGAATTTAAATAGGACATCAAAAATAATAAATCATCATATACAAATTGGCTTTTAACACATTGAGTTTATTTTGATGTTTTTTTTTAAATCTCTTCCATATAAAATTTGTGTCTAACGATGCCACACATTCAACTATCTCTCAGATAAGGATCGTCTTTGCCTTCATTTCTTTTATATACACGACTAGGTCTAAGGCCGTAATTCAATTTGTTTTTATGCCATAATATCTGACAGTACTCGTTTATACATAAGAGGTACGCAATTGATATAATTGTTATAATGATTTTAGATATTTAACGCAATGAATTTTTTACCCTATAGAGCAAAATATTATTTTTTTTTTGTGAATTTTCTTAATATTTTCTTCAATTTGTAATTATCTATAAAAAAAAAATCAAACTCATCTATAAAGATATTATGTATATAGATTATGTAACATTTATCTAAATGAAGTTTGACTGTAAAATATTTCAATACTGAAGATTAAATTTTAAAATTAAATACAATTAACAATATTTTCTATATTATTTTCAAATATTTCTCTTTTTTTCTCTATTTAAAAATAAAATGAAAAATTTATAAATTTATATATTATAAGAAAATAAGATATTAAATTTATAAATGTTACGTTATATCGAAAATTTATATTTTAAATTGCTAAACAAAAACTAATTATTTGTACCTCTTTACACACAAAGATGCGTTTCTGTCATGATAGGATTGACTGGCGGAACGTTTTAAACGTTACTTATCAGATCCTTTTCTTCTTATACATTTTTTCTAATTTGACTTACTCTTTGCTTTGAGGACCTTATGTATTAGCATCTCATAACAAAATCCATCATCAACAAATTGCAAAATTTTGAACTTGATTTGAATTATTTTGATATCATGTTATTCATTTTTATATAATTAAACGCAATTCGATGAAATTTCGAAGAATTAGATCGACCTGTTCCCGTGCTTCCTGTTCACTGCAGTGAGATATCAAATATGAAAGCGCGAGCAGAAAAATATATCATATGCTCTATTTTTTACATTATTCCAATAATTACTTTGTGTAAAAAAAAGTTTTTACTCGTGTGATGTTCATTATTACTCCATTTTTGAGTACCCAAAAAAGTTCGAAGATACATATATCATTAGACTATTGGATAGCTCTTTATGTCAACCTTATAGGTTGAATTTTGGCTTAATAAATGTTTATAAAGTAGTTCGAGCTATAATAATCAAAAGTAAAGTTTCTTTAATTTTAATATTTCTTGCAGTATTTTTGTAATCACAGTCCCTCATTTCTTTCATTTCCTAATATATATTGCATAGGCACCACCTATCAATACAATTTTGAAGAATGTTTGTTCGCCAATTTTCTTTTTACATTTCATATGTCTCTATAAATTAATCTTAAAGATGTTTGTTTTTTGTTGTAACATTTAAATTATTAACATAACAGTATAGTGTAATAAATTGCATACTGAAATCTGTCTCATATGATTAAGATTTAAATACAACTTGAGGGACTAAATATTGTTGTGGGTCTTTGTAAATCACTAACCCACTTCAGTCACTTTCAAGATGATCAGCACTTCATTTTATATTACTACAATTTTATAAGTTTTTTTTTAATTACTAGTTATTATTTGAATTAAATGAAAAACATACTATTTTATCTGGAATGATACTGTTATTAAAAAAAGAAAAATATATAAGTTTTACGACAGAAAGAAAGAAAGAATATAAGATTGCTTATAAATATGTTGATTCATATGACAAGCAAGGAAATGATTTTAAGTGCTTAATGCCATCATGAAAGTAACTTAAATTTATAAACTTTATTCTACCTCTGCAGAATACTAGTAGTTTTCTCTTTCTTCATCCATTTCTGATTGCAGCTACTGATTGTGCGGTAAAATCACTGGTATAGTTTGCTGCGCTCCTGGAGGTGGTTGCGGTGGTAGGTATTGCATATGCTGCGGTGGTATCGGTATATGAGGAGGAATTATAGGACACATTATTGGATAACTCGGAGCATGGCCTTGAGGAGGTGGTGGAGGATATGTGGGTTGTGGAGTACCAGGAGGATTATAAGTGCCTGGTGTGTGTGGTGGATTAGGATTAGCTGGAGAAGGAGTTTGACTTGGTGGTTGTTGAGCAACATGAGGATGTGGATGTGTATGTGGACCCATGTATTGAATACCAGGGGCTTGCGGTCCTGGTGAGTCATGATGATGATAAGGTGTTGCCATATGTGGCGGTGGTGGTGGTGCCTGAACCATGCGTACCATCTGTTGATATGCTGGTTGACCAGGATAAGGCACCTGGAATGGTGGATGTAGAGGGGCTGGTGCCATTAAAGGCTGTCCAGTTGCCGCCACTACTTGCATCTGAGAAGCTATATCTTGTGCACGATGTTGTGCATGCATTACTGGTACTGAAATCAGAATAATATACAATTTATATTATTATTACAAATGATGAAATTTGTACATATATTTTAAAATATTTGCTAATAAATAGAAAATTGAAAATAAGATGCGGATACCTAGATACTGACCCTTCCGGAACCTTGTCACAGGTTGAGCTGGTGGCTGACTGAACGCAGTTGGTGGTTGGCTAGTCATTACATATGCTGGCATAACTACAGTAGCAGGCATTGTTGCTCCAGTATACTGAGGTGTTTGTGGAGTATGTGGTCTACTTGGTGTTGGTGTACTTGGAGATCGCTAGAAATAGATATTTAAATCACATTTTAATATCACTCAATCGTTAATTAAATTTCTTATGATTGATAGCTTACCGGTGTAAAAGGTTTAGTATTTGGATTAAATTCTTTAGCATTTGGATTTAATGTTGATTTTTTGAAAGCTGTCGTAATTTTATCAACTGTAGCTTCTTGTGAAGCTTGAGATACAGTAGGTGTGCTTGTAGAAGTTTGTTGTTGTGATTGAGAAGGGCTTGTAGGTCGCAAAGGTAATGGACCTGGTGGTGGTTTACTAGTGACCACAGTTTCTTCTGAAACAGTTTGATTTTGATGTGATTGTTGTTGTTGCTGTTGTTGTGGAGGATTTGGATGTTGTTGTAATTGTTGCGGTTGTTGCTGCGACTGTTGGGATGTTGTATGTTGATGAGATGATTGATGATGCGTCTGAGTAATTTGTGGCGACGAATGGGCATCCTGTTGATGTTGATGTTGATGTTGCTGCTGTTTTCTGGTAACTGGCGTTGTATCTTGTGCTGGTGTTTCTGCTAGCTTGAAATCTGAAGCAAATTGCCTCAATTCTGAATGTTGTTCTTCTCTACTACGTGGCGTTGGAACCTTTAATGATATATTTGTTTCATAATTTTTTTAAATATAAAATATCTCAAATATAATTTGTAGGTAAAATATTACCTTTCTATGATCTGACTTATGTGAAACTATTTCACATCGTTGACCCTCGACCGAATTTTGCTGTTGTAATTGACCATGTTGTTGATGTGATGATTGCTGCTGTTGGTGAGAAGTAGTAACATTCGTTTGTGGAAATGGTGCTGGTGGTGCTTTATCGGCTTGATACACTTGTTGTCTACCAGGACGATCACGTTTTTCCGTATTTATTTTGGATGATGATGTTTGTTGTTGTTGTTGTGGTGGGAAAGTAACTTGTGGTACAGCAGAAGTTGTTTGAGATTGTGGTTGTGATTGTTGAATTACAGGTACTATAAATATAAATTCGTTTAAAAAAATATAATCCATATTTTCTTTATTTCTTTTATGAATTAATATAGCATAAATATGATTTGTCAATACCTGGTGGTGGTGGTTGCGTAGTTGGTGGAGGCACAAATGGTGGTGGAGGATTATTATATGTAACCACTACTCCACTGGGTGGCATTCCCATGTTTAACGATACCGAGTGTTGCACCGAAGGATGTGTATTTTGCATTCCAATAGGAAGATTCGAAGTTGGAGGAATGTTCACATTCACATTGGACGGAGATTGTTGATTAAAAACATTTTTATTGGCGGTTGCAGATCCTGGTGAAGGCGGAGGTTCACTAGATCTCATCAATTTTGCACTATTTCCATTTTTCTTTTTCAATGGAGGTGGGATATATTTACCTTCAGTGGGTCTCACCTAAAATTATGTGGAATTAATAGAAAAGATAATTTATACTTTTATTTTATATAACTATAATAATAATAAAAAACTGCACCACAGCTGCAAATCTTTCTTCCTCATCTCCATTTTCAAGTTCTAATCTAGCTTTGTAATTTGGTTGTGATTCTATTTCATTTGCAATTTCTGCAGCTTTTTGTTCTTGCTCTTTATAATCTTTTGTATCTTTTCTTTGAAGTGGCAAAGTATAAGCAGCTAAAGTTGGTTCATATGTTGTTTGAACTCCATATTTTTGTTCATTTTTGCGAAACATATCATCAGCATCCCATCCATTCTGAAATTAATTAAATAATTTTTAATTTTATATATATTCTTAAATTTATATTATAATATAAAAGATACTTACTGTTGTACCATCTAATTTTAAGTCATCTCCATTCATAGTAGCAGGAGGAGCATCCCAAGGTTCTAATTCTTTTTCACCAATTAAGCCATTATATTTACTAATAACAGTATCTGTTCTAAATGTATCACGTATAGCATAATCTAAATCAACATCCTTGGCAGACATAGTAATAATATCTTGTGGTTTAAAAATTAATTTTTCTACTACACTTTCCACACTAATTTTTCCTGAACCTTCTACACGATGAGCCATTTCTAAGACAACATCAAATTGACTTGAGAAAGTGCGAAAAATACCTTCATATATTGACCCATTCAATGTTTGAATCTGTAATAAAAATTCATTGCAACATAAAGAAACTAAAGAAATATATTATATTATATATTTTATTAATAAAAAAATTTATAAACACAATTTATTATAATAAAATTGCCTTTATTGTTATTATACTTACACAATAAAAAATTTTATTTATCAACTAATACTAATACCTGTACAATATTGCCAACATGACTGGTTATTGCATGCATGAAATGGGCATTATTGTATACACCTTCAGCAGCAACACATCTTTCTTGTGGACCACGGGCACGTGGTGATCTAAAAAGAAAATTGCATTTGGAAATAAAATCAGGAATATTAATATTAATATTAATATTATATATTAAATATTAAGAAAAAAATTTTATATTAAGATATTTAAAATTTGTTCAGTTTGAAAAAAAAGTTAAAAAAAATAAAGTAAAACAGAAAAGAAAAGGTACCTGTTTGTATTTGAACGGTTTTTTCTTTTGCTATTCATTTTGCCACTCGACGAGGATTCTTCGCCAGTGGTTGATGGATTTCTGCCGCCGGTTTGTTGCGGACCTTCTCGTTTCCTAGTGGGGACCGGAATTTTGACTAATTTCCCGGTGACTACTTAACGTTAAAAAATATTTTCGATTGAATATCCCAACGCAGGGAAATATAGAGGATTTTTTTCCAGAAACTTCTCGTTAGATATTGAAAATTTCAATTTCAAATCTTTTTCGACCCCAAAATGATTGACAGGAGATACTAGCTGCAACAACTACCAACATTCACGATCGCTTTTCGAGTCACGATCGTTTATAGGTTATGCGCCAATGCTACAGTTATCTAAACACTCGTTTGCGAAAGTCTAGCGCGTGCGTGACTTTCGGATTTTGACAAACACAAGAATAAAGTGTAAGCAAAGAAAGCAGGAACACTTTGTATTCGAGGAGACGTACGGGGGAACACGGTCTGCTCGACACACGATATCTTGCTGGTGCGTGACGTAACTCCGTTGTCTTTACGCAGGAAATCACCCTTATGGAATTTTTGCGTTGGCTGAATTAGGAAACGAGCAACGGTAGTTCTAAATAATGATTTCGGTCACAATATTGTATTCCTATTTAATTAATCAACATGTGGTAAAAGATAAAACTTAGCACAAGTCGCCAGATCAACCTGATCCCGGTGACTGTCAGACAGTCGCCACCTAGTGAGAAATTAATAAAAATTCTGATAAAGATCATCCGCAATTCCTCTCTTGGAGCACCTATTTTCATCAAGACTTATATTTTCTTTTCTAATAGAAATGCATCTTTAAGTATTGAGTATAGTACTAGATTAAAAAAATTTTTTGTCATTAAAGATAAAATAAAAAATTTGAATTTTTTAAATAATTTTCCAAAATATTTTGTGTGTGTGTGTGTGTGTGTTAAAATAATCAGTTTAAATATATTATATTTAAATATAAAAAATAATTTATTATATATTTAATAATTTCTTTTAAATTTTACTCAAGATATCTATGCACATTTTTTATCGTCGTTATAAATAATGTGCAATTTTCGAATAATGTTCTTCGTTTTATCAGAAATGAAATTGTCCACTTGATCTAAGATGTGCATGCCTTGAATTATCCATTCAAATCCCTTATTAATCTTTTTTTCTCTATTAGTATATTTATTTGAACGACTTGATAGAATATTTGAAAGTTCTGCCATAGCACTTCTTTGTTCTTTCGCAAATATTTTATCAGTTTCCATCATGATTAACTAGTGAACAATTTAATATGATTTATAAGATATATAATCTTGAAAATTAAATATTGAAAAAATACAATATTACTTACCATGGATAATATAAAAAGCAGCAATAATATTTTCATTTTTTAGAAAATAAGATACATTTCATATTCAAATTCGTCCATATGTATAATTGTATTTATAAAAAAAAAAAATATTAAAAATTAAGTATTTATAACTGTAAGAAAAAAAAGAAGTTAGTTTATTATATTCTCAATATATTCTTTAGTTCTAGTTTAGTTTAGTCAACGTTGTTACGATTATTTAGTATGTCTTCTGACCAATTTATTCCTCTTATTCCAACATTTCTTATTGAATGGTATGCGCTGACGCTAAATAAATATTTGCATATTTAATATTAAGCAATGCATTAATTCAAACAATGAAGCAATTCATTTTATAAGCATAATTCTTATTTTATAAGCGATCATAGTATCCTTTGAGATTTGATCGAATAATAGTTATATGTTTGATTTTTTTTACATTTACACATTATTATATTCATAATGATAAAATTTGTTAAAATATTAATGAATAAGACAGTAATAAAATGAAAAAATGATCAAATTTATCAATTCTGTATATATATATATATATATAAAATATAAAATCTGATAATAAAAAGGAATTATTAATTTATATATTATTTGAGATGAAAGAAAATATTTTTCTCAAATTATTAACAATTTTTTATATTTTTTTATTTTTCTTTATATAATTAATACATTTTCAATCTTAATAAGAAATATTAGTCATTTAACTTTTCTGAGCTGCGGCAGTTTGAAGTTGATTGTTTAGATTCTGTGTTGCTTCTACAGCAATATCAACTGCCTGTTTTGTGAACTTTGCAAGGTCTTCTTGTATTTTTCCAGAATGTTGGTTCAGAGATTTGGCAGCTTTGTCAGATTCTTTAAGTAAAGTTTGAACTCCTTGCTGGAATTTACTTTGTAATTCAGCGACTTGTTGCTGAGCGTTTGGAATTCCACTGCTAATATCATCGACGACTTTATTGAGCATGGTTTTAACATCATTCCATGATCTTTCCAATTCGGGAGTTTTAGTTTTGACCTAAAACAAATAATGTTTGAATTTTGTTTTCTTTTTTTCTTTCACTTTTTTAAAAAGTTTTAATAAAAAAAAAAAGATTTTTTTAAAAATTAAACTTTGAAATTTATTAAATCTATTTAATTAAAAAATATTAATCATTACCTCTTCAGTAACATTCTTTATGTAATCTTGAATATTGTTAATGAAATTGGTGCTTTGATCTTTGACAGTTTTTACAATAGTCTCTTGATCAGGGATATTCCATTGTTCCTGAATTTGTTTCGCTAAATTGTTGATATTTGCTTGAGCCTGACTTATAAGTTCGGTTAATTGAACATCAGGAGATCCTTGAGAATTGGTACTGCTAGTCGGAGCAACTTTGGCCTCGGAAATCAGTACAATACAAAAGATGATCGTAAGGATGTTTTTCATTTTTCTTGTAGGTATTCACTGTGAAACAACCAGAAAGTGACTGATATTGTCAGCTGAAGAGCAACTACTTTTATAGGCGATTCTTATCGAGGGTGCACGAGGGCACAATCAACTATCTCACTTTGACGATGATGAATTCTGATTTTTGATTCTTCTTCAAATATTTTTACAAGAAAGATTTGGAAAAATTTTTTACCATAATTATTAATATGATTAAATTTTTTAAAAGCAATTTGTTAAAAAGATAACAATCAAAGGAATTTAATTAAAATGCAATATAAAAATATAAAAAGAATATAAAAATATAAGATTAAGGAATAATTATTTGAATTTAATTTTTTATTCCTAAAAATTAAAAGTATAATTAAATAGATGCTGAAATATATTCATTAAACTAATAAATACGCCGATTTTACATAGATATCGACGAGTTAAAGTTCAAAATAAAAACGAATGTCACTGCATCATTATCTCTATATAAAGATAACATATTATCTCAATAAAGTACATAAATATGAAAATTATTAAATTAATATTTACATATCTTGATATATTAACCATTAGAAAAAAATAATTTGTATATCTTCTTTCATTCGTTGTCATCAGAAATATATGATATTTCCAAGAACTCGTCAATTATTTTAAAAAACGAGAGTTTACCAATATCTCATGATTTAATCATGTTGTCGCGCAATCTTAAAAGTTTATTAATGATTAAGAGTTACGTCGAGGGAACGAAGGTCCTATGGAAAAATTTAATTATCGATGCATTTGTTGATTTTTACGTTGCACTATTCATACCATCATTTTTTCCTCAACTCCGTATAAAACAGCTGGTTATCTATGCGTGTGCTGTCGGTCAATAGAAGCCTTGACCCATGACCATTTTGATTCTGTTACACATTATAATACATTGTAATATTTTATATATGATACATATTATTTGTAATACATTTTCATCCGATTTTCATTCTATGTTTCTTAATTGTTTATTCTATATTAAAACACCCATATATAATTACGTATTAATTAATAATAATTTAAAAATATCGATTCACGTTTATATATATATAAACGATATAATCTTGATATATAATTTCGTCTAAATATAATTAATAATAAGTTATATTTCATTTTTAAACATCAAGAATTTTTTAAATATATATATATATATATAAAGTTGAGGAAGTTAAAATTTTTTAAAGGATAAAGAAGGAAAAAAAGAATGGAAAATATATATCTTATTTATAATTTATTTCAAAGAAACGTTTGTTAAATGATATAATTATATTGTATTAATTGATTAAAATTCTTGACTTTCTTACATTGATTGAACATAATTTTTTTTGTTTCAAAATTGTATCGAAATTATTAACATTGTTTATCAGAAAAATATAAGTACTTAATACAAAATTCGAAATAATAAATGTAACATGTTACGTGTTATTTGAGAAGTAACGAAAAAAAAAAAAAATATATATATATATATATATATATATATAAAAGATTAATGTTTCACAAATTTCTAAAAAATTACTGTTTGGATTAAAAACATAATTGTACTAAAAATGCACATAGATAGATAAGAAAATTGTCATCTCGGTCAAATTTAATCACGTAACTTTTCCGCAATCTTCTCTATTTCTTTACGAATATTTTCACCAGCCTGGCCAATAAATGATTTCGCTTTTTCCAGGGCATCATTCAGCTCCGATTTCTCGAGCGCTCCTTTCGCATCATCGAAAATTTTTTTTGCTTTATTCGTTAAATCGTCGAATTGGCTTGGCGCAGATTGTTCCGCATCTTGGGGCAAAGGATTAGCCTAAATATCAATCAACACCGTATTACAGCCAAAAAATAATAGCTTGTAATAAAGATATTATATAAAAATCATCGACAAGAATTAATTAACCGCTTTATATCCTTGATATATATAGTAAAAATATTTATACTCACTTGTGAAATACAGACTAGGCAAACGAAGAGAAAAACGAATAGGAGAAGTCGAGACATAATATGATCGTTTAGCTCTTCGCGTTGAGCGTTTGGAAAAAAATGTTTGCGATAGTTTCTGTCAGAGAGACGGTAGAAAACTGCTATGGGAGCCTCGTGCGAACTATATTGCTACGATAAAATGAATCGAGATCAAAGATCACACTAATAACCACTTAAGCTTATATAGCTTGTTAGTTATTCTCAATTTCTTAGTCGTTACCTAAAGTCGTTCAACGTATATACGTATTCACATGCCTCGCTTCTTCCTTCTACTGGAACAAAATGAATCATTCTTCGGATAAATGCTCACTTTTAGTGGAACTAATTATTCCGTACTGCGTCACGATTTCTGCACCAAGTGTCTATCTTGTTTTCCGGAAATTGTGTAATCGAAATGTTATTTTTATTTCTTGGAATTTTTTGAAAAATACACCAAGTTTAGGTTTACTATTTACTTTTATCGTTTAATTTAACGATAAACTTTTATGTTGTTGAATTCTGCAATATCTATTTAAATTTTGTGCTTCTATATTATTTTGTGCTTTAATTTTTCCAATTTTTCAAATTGTTCTTGTATTTGGATCTATATTTAAAAAAATATCATGGATCGTAAACCGTTTCGATCGGACGGAAAATTTATTGATAAAATTCAAAATTTGTTAAAAAAGGTAAACAAAAAAATTCCTTGAAAAATATAAATGAGGTTTCGGAGAATTATTTTTTATTCTTGAATTATTTTAACAATTTTGAACAATTTTAACAATATTTTTATCTTAGCATACATACATGTTTATGAATAATAATTTAAATATTTTAATATATAAATTGTGATTACATACGATAAATTTAGTAAATTATTGAATTGTAAAAATTTTAATAAACTTAACAAAATGATTTCGTATTTTTTGTAAATTGTTGAATTTTCACACAATTAAACGTGATACTTTATCTTCGTAAAAAATTCAATTTAAATTCAATAAAAAAGTGAAACAAAATTATCTGTAGAAAAAATCGAGAAAGGAAAATAACGATTAAAAATAAGAACATGGAATTTTGAAAAAAATTTTCGATCTCATTAGTGAAATATTTCAAATCTTAAGGAACTGCTTAGAAAATTAAAAAAAAAAAAATTAGAAAAAATTATTGAATTTTTTATTAAAAAAATTGGATGAAAAGTTATACAAATTTGTGAAAAGTACGAATAATGACAATATATCATTTATTTATATATTTTTTGTAAAAGATAACAAATATCGAAGATCAATAAATGAATTGCGAGACATAATTAAAATCATTTTTTAGAAATTATCCCAATGGATGAAAGTGACATTTATCCTGTAAAAATATATTTAATTATCATATTTTAAATTGATATTCTTAAGTGCATATCGATTTAATTAATTTATAGCAAAAATTAATAATTGTTGAAATTTAATAGAATCTGAAGATTTTTAATTGAGTACTTATTAAATGACATATAAAAATTGATAAATAAATGATAATCATTATGTTCAGAAAATAATGAAAATTAATTGTTCTTACCAGACATTAATAGAACTCCTTATATCCTATTCAAAAATATTCAAAAATAATTAAGATATTAGCGTAGAGGCAATCGATGTTATCGAAACATTTAAATTTGTTTTTTCTTCATTCATTACAGGCGATTCAGATGTATCAATTATTTTGCTTAACGTTTCCGGAATTCCAGATGCATAATAACCATTAAATAAAGCTTGTAATATGTTAATACCTTCTTCTAAAATTACTATATACTGATATATTTTTTGTCGGATGCAATTCAACAAATCATTAAATATTGATTCTGCCCATACAATTGCGTTGAAAAATAAATTTTTTATTTCTTCTAGAGGATATAACGCGAAATTATAAAGGGAAGTTATTAATTGTTTGCCAACCTCAAATAATCTCTTTCCTATTTCTTTTAAATCTTCAATTTTCTCTAAATAATTAATATCAAAAAATTCAAAAAGAGTATGTATACAAGAGAAAGCCTCTTTAATAGAATTAACTAATTTAATTATGCCTTTTACAATAGGAATTAAAATAGGGACATATTTTTTTATATTATTAATTAAGGTTTTTATATTTTCAGGACTACTTAAAAATTCTTCTAATTGGGACAATTCGATATCTATTATTTCAGGTAAACTTTCATTAAGCGTAACCTCACTGTATGAAACTATATCTTGTACTGAGTTCAATAGCCAGATCAATGGAGATTCAGATTTTAAATTCTTTACTGCGATTAAGATATAATGAAAAAGTTTGTTCAGCTCACAAAAAGATTCATGAATTATAGTTTCAATTATATGTTGGTGGCCATAATTTAAAGCTTCTGTTTTGCAAGAATAATTTTCCAACGTTTCCAGCAGAGATGAATTTGATGGTTGGAAACAATTAATTTGCGTTTCGGAAAATTCAGTACATTTAGATAAACTATTTTCTAGATAACGTTTTGGCAAGTTTTTTGAGTTATCTTTAATGCTCTGAAAATATTCAATTCATTAATAAATCGTTCTAATTTTATAAGATAAATAACAATAATAATAATAATAATAAAATATAAAAATCACCAGTTCTTTTTCCCTTGTCTCAGTTTCAACCTTTGGATTATCTTTGTTACGAAAACTTGGATCCTCCGAAATATCTTCTTTTTTATACGATCTTGATGGGATTTGCAAAGATTGTAAAATAATAGGTAAATTATGATGTAACGTGGATAAAGAATTTTCTACTTTTTCCTTTAATTCTATTGTTGCGTCACTTTTTTCGATAATAACGATGAATATTATGGCATTTAATACCACGTAAAATAAAAAGGCACTCGACACTTTACTCTTCATTTTTTCGACTAAAATGCACTTATCCAATTTGATCGGTGAAGACAGCTTCATATACTCGGAGAATTGATATTTTATTTTAAAAAATTGCACGCACAACGTGCGCAATTTCAAAAGTTGAGATTAATAATTAAGATAATTATGATTATGGTATGATTCTACGTGCATACACATATTCGGAAAATAATTAAAAAGCACGTATTTGAATCTTCAGAGATTACTTATACACGTTAATAAATAATATACGATAAGATATGATATAAGAAAAAAAATATAATTATATTTATTGTACACACTTTCATACGTTCACTTTAGTTAGATAGATAAAAAAGTTTTGAACTTTTGATCACTTTTACATTTCAATATATTTTATTATTATTTTATTATTAATATAAATAATTCTGTTAATTGTTAAATTTATTAACATTGGCATGATGATGATGATGATGATGATGATGATGATGATGATGATGATGATGATGATGATGATGATGATGATAATGATGAAACTTCACAAGCAGGAACGAGAACTCGATCAATCCGAGATTGAAGTCCTTTCAGTCGTTGAACTTGTTTCATTTCGCATTCAGAATTACTATTGATATAATAAAAAAAAAAAAACAATTATAACTACATTTATAAAAGATCAAATATTTGTAAATTAGAAATACTCACTAATTATTATTTGTCGTAATTGGAACGTTTTCGATTCCAAAGTTGTAATTTTTCAAAGATGGTGGAGAATTGACAGGAGGAACATAGGTATTGTACGCATAAACTTTACCACGTAAGGTATCTTCGACACACTTTTTTTCTAATGGCGATGGAGTACTACATGGAATGTCCAACGAAACTGGATATTCAATACGACGTGGCTGAATATACGTATTAGGAATCATTTTAAAATTCAATGACACTGGTATTTTTTCCTCTTTCTGAGGTGATTTAGGTCCCTGAAATTATTGTATACAAGTTATGAGAAAGTTTATTGTAAAATTAACAGATAGATATTTGTTATTAATTTATTACTTCTATCTGAAAAGGTAGACGACGAGTCATAACGCAAGGTTCACCGTAAGTCACTATTCTAGCACCATTGTAATCTAAACTGTAACAGCTTTTCAAGACACAAACTGAATAAACGATGAAAATCCAGGTTATTGTTTCTGAATTCATATCGATATTCTAAAATTCACAATTCGAAATGTAATTAAACTGCGTCCAACGATTTTACGTGCTTAATATACATATATTTATTAAAAACAATCGACCTTCCGGTTAATTACCAAATTAAACGATATATCGTATTATGCAATTTGTAAATATGTATAATTAATAAAGAGTAAAAAAGTATAAAAATTTTCATAAAAATTTCGTAACTTTTCAACATGTTTGAACAAGAGCAGTATGAAATTTCTACTTGCGGAAGTAAACTGCGAAAATGTTTGACAGTGAAATAAAACACGTAACGTTCTCTAAGAATTTTAAATATAACTGTTTTATATCAATCAGTATGAGAAAGTATAGATTACTAAGGTTTATTATTTATAGATTAAAATTTTTATACATACTTTATTGTATGATTTCGGCACATCGATTATTACTGAAATATCTCGTATGATTAATACAGTTTAGTTTTTAATTTTATCATATTATAAATGTTAAAATAATCGTGATAGTGAAATAGAATAGAATATTTATTTTATATTGAATAAAATATATACAAAAATATAAAAAAAAGAAATAAAAAGAGAAACTTGAAGGCAATTATGAAATATACATATATAAAGCACATATATATGTAAATATACATCATCATTTTTTATGTTATATTTCGATTAAAAAATCCTTCTTTTTAAAATTTCACAAAGTATTGATAGATTCGCTTAAACTATGAAACTCGAAAAAAAAAATATTATTTTGATATAACAAACACTACAAAAAATTTTTATTCTAATAAATTCTAAAACAATAATAAAATATAATTTTGTATTTTAATCATTTCAAATTTTAACTTCAATGATTAAAATTTTAAAAGTGTAATTATCTCATAATTATTTCAAAAATAATCCTTTAGGTAATATATTTAATATATTATAATTATTCGAAAAAATAATTTTTTGAATAATTTTTTCTAAAGAAAAAATATTTTTTTTTATATCATGGCTATATTAATAATTTTTACATTATTTTATTAAAATTATATGATTTTTAACTTAACTATTAAAAAAAAATAAAATAAAGTATTATTATATAATAATTATATGTTAATAATTACTAATAATAATTTTTATTATTATAATATTTTTTATGAAATATAACTGTATAAACACAATTATTAGAAAAACAAATTATACTTTTAATATAATTTATTATTATTATTTTTATTATTATTATTATATAAATAAACAATAAATAATTATTTTGTTTAAATTTCATATATACTTCATATAAACTTATATACTGCAGATATTATATAGAAAATTTTATTTATTTCATTATTCGATTATTTGATTTTTTTTTTATAATTTCTTAAATACAAAATCAGTAAATATCACATATAGTTTTAAATAAATTTATTGATATAATATGATAAATAATGTATGTAAATGTAATAATAAAAGGTATAGAATTAATATTACAAAAATTTGTTTATTACAAGATACATATTTATATAATTTAATCAATTCTTTCAGTTATGTATATATTAGTAGAAATACAGTTTTCATTTATTAACAAAATATACAATTTTAATATAATTTGAATTAAAAAAATGAAATCTTATATTATTTGATATATTATGTTGGACATGATTTAGATCCTGAAGTCTGAAGTTCCATATTTTCATTAAAAAGTTTTTCTTGCACTATTATTCTGCCTGGAATATAATCTGGTCTGGATGGCCCCAAAGATCCACATGGTTCTTCTTCACTATTATCAATATTCGTATTACTCATGCCTTGATTATAACTTGTAGATTTTGGATAATTTGCATTTACTGGTGCATAGCCTAAATCTCTGTAAATAATTAGTGATATACAATTAATAATAATTATTACATATTCTTTAATATGCGCGGACATGCATATAAATACTAGTAAAAATATTAATAATTTTAAGTCATTATTTTAAATTCTTTCTTACTTGTAAGTAATAAGACTTTCTTGATTAGAAGTTTCTTCTTGTGTTATACTTTCACGTTCAATTGCTTCAAGTTCTGCTAGTTTAGCTTCTTCTTGTTCATCATAAGAACCAATAACAACAGTTTTTGGAGGTGCTAATTTTAATTCCATAACAGGTTTGTTAACTGTTACTAATTTTTCTTCTGCAATATCAGGAATTTGATTTTCATTTTTTATATCAGTTGGTAGTGTTCTATGACCAAAAGATAATTTATCTTCTGGAACAAATTGTTTTCCTTGTCTATAAATTACATTTGGCGCACGAAGATTTTTGTATGCAAGAGTAAGAGAAACTGCATCTGCTGGCATTGCTGGATATGAATTATGATCTTGAATTTCATCTGAAAAAAATATATAATAATTCTTTTAAATTTTTATATTTTATTAGAAAATTACAATAATATATTTAATAATTATTAAACCTGTAATATAATCAAAACAATCTGAAGAAGTGCTGCTCATTTTTGAATATTGTTTTTGTCCATTTCCATTATTTAACTTAAAAATAGGTAAATTATTATATATTGCAGAATTTGTTTCAAATTTATTTCCATACGAATTAGAAGTAATAAATGATTTGAGATCAGAACTAGATGTAATTTCAGTTTTTCCAATAGCTGTGTTTATACATGCTTCATAAGGAATTGATGGAGGACAACATACAAGTTTGCCAGGATAAGCTGGTGTAACCTTAGTTTTTTCTATTAATTTTCCACTATTAGGTTCTATTGGAAGAGGATAACATAAATCTCCAATTGGTGAAAATCTAAAGATAAAAATTTAATATATAAGTTTTTATATAATTCTTGATTTTAAATATAATTTAAATTTTATCAGTTTTATAAATATTTATAACTTTATAAATATTATAAATAAATATTATAAATAAATTTATAAATTTATTAATAAAAAAAGAAAATAAGTACCTAGGTGCAACATTGCCATTGGAAGTATTAGAATCTTCCAAAGTTTCTAGATTTTGTTTAGATTCATTAGAATTAGTTGAACCAGAATAGCTTTCACTTTGTGTTTTTAAATTATTGTTATCATATGTATTTTCACTACATCCACAACTATTGCTCTTTGAATCACTGCTACTTTGAGGAATAGAGTTGCTATTACTTTGTGAATTAGAACAATCAATTTGACTACTTTTTGCATTTGCAGCATTCTTGATTTCTTGTGGTGATACATAATATGTAGGCTTTGGTAATTTTGTAGCTTTTACAACAACCTCATTAGAAGTGCAAGGATTTGAACCTATGGACAGTATAATTGAATTATTAATTTATTATCTTTAAAAATTATTGTATTACAATTAAATTTTCTGATTATATACCTTGTCCCAAGCTACCGCACGTACATTCCTTATTTTGTACTTGAACTATTAAATATGATATTGTTAAGATGAAAAGTGTATTCAATATTGAAGACTTCATACTGATGAACATCTTCTGAGCATTCTGACTCATTCTTTTTTTTTAAACGCTTTATATATACAAAAAAAATCTGAATTCAAAGATAAATTATGCAATTTAATAGCATACTGCGTTTCCTGTTACTTTTTAAAATACTATAAAAACTTCCTGTATTTTTAAAAAATGGGCATTAAATAACTTTTGAATAGTAAATATATTTGATTAAATTTTGATGGTAATATAAACGAATATATATATGTATTGAATATAATTTAAATTACGATACAATATGTTTAATGAATTGAACGTTGTACGTGATAATTTGATGAATCGGTATTTCCGTGTAACTTCCATGTTATTGTTTATATATATATATGTCGCGGGACAAAATATTTTAATTTTCGGTTTCGTATCAATGAAGACATTATTTTTTAATAAGCATTTTATTATAAAATATGAATTGTCATTTAGATAATGAAGATTTATTTTTTTACATTTGTTATTCTATTATATAATAATATATTTACAGTTATATACAGTACATTACATGTTTTTACATCTTACTTATTAAAAAAGTCTGCTGCTCTTTGCCTTTGAAGAGGCAAATTAAGTAAATTATCGGTAAGAACAGAATCTTGACACCGTGTATTGCTGTTTTCAAGATGATTTTCAGATTTTAAAACTGTATTTATTCGTGGAGTGCTGGGTGTTCTGATACCTATTGATGGTGTCTTTGAAGATGATATCCTTCGTGGAGTTGGTGTACTTGCTATACGAAGTTTTTGAGTAGCTAATCTTCTAGCAGCTGGAGACATTGTACTTAAACGATCCATGGTTGATCTAGGTGATGGACTAGATAAAAAAAAATAAAAATCAATATAAATCTTTTAAACAATTAATAAATAATACAATATAAATAATACAAGGATATTTACGTTGCTAATGATTTTCTTGCTGCTTCTAAAGCTTTATTTTTTCTATCTCTATGTCTTTCACCAGCTTTTTCTGCTAGTTGTAATGCAAGTTGTTCTCTTTTTGGTGGTTCTGCCATTCTAAATGATGGTCCTTGACTTGTTCTCAATAATGGTGTATCCCCCCCATCTAATCTAAATGGTGTACCTTCTATTTGACCCCATGTCATTAAAGGACTCTCACATTCTCCAGGTCTTGGACTTGGAGTTGCTACAAAGCTAAATCCATTTACTCTAGGTGTTGGATTTCTTACAATTTCTTTCCCATCAACTCCTATTTTTCCATCATTAGCCTTTGATTGATTTTTTGCTAATTCATTAATAGTTTCTTTATTCTGCTGTTCATTAAAAGGATTAATTCGAAGTCTTGTATTTTCATGTACTACTATTTGTTTTTTCTTAGCTAAATCTATTCTTTCATCAGGAGTTAATTCTACTCCATCAGGAACATACATAATGTAATTTTTATTTTTATAACTCCAACTGTCTAACTGATTCTTATTATCATTTTCAAGAGCTAAGATATCTGAATTTTTATCATTTTTCAATATTTTAGAATTCTCTTCAGCTTTATAAAGCCAAGCAAATTTAAGCTTTAATCTTTTTTCTGCTTCAATCATCATCTCTTCGAAACTTGCATTATCTTCACTTGTATGGGTACTTAAATATGCATCTAATCCAGATATAAGTTCCGTTTTATCTTTATCTTTTATAATTTTATCAACAGGTGTATCTTTTGATTCTTTTGAAGATTTAAATTGTTCATCTTCTGATTCAATTTTATTCATAGGTGTTTCAAATGTAGCTGGACTAGCAGGTCTTTCAGTTGTTGGACGTCCTGAACTATATTTTTCATAAAGTTCTCTCATTCTTTTCACATCATTTTGTTCTAATGCATCTAAATATTGATTTTGTGCTTGAAGTTTATCTAAATGTGGAAAAAAATCTCTTTGAATAATTTCTCCCATCCTTTTTATATATGTATCTTCATCTAGGATTTTTGGTTGTACTTTTTTATGCTTTTTTGCAACACCTAATGGTTTTTTAAATACAGCTAAGTCTTTCATATTTTTAGCCACTTCCAAAGCTTGAGATCCTGGAGTATCCATTGTTAAACTTAAAGTAATATATGCTTAAAAAAAAAAATAAAAAATATTAGTAATTAGAAGTAGTTAAAAATATACACGTATAATAAAAATAATTTATTATATAGATTAAATAATTGACACATACATTTGTAAAAAAAATTAAGGTTATGTATTGGAACGTCTCTTAAACGTTTTTACTTTTAGATTTGAATTTAATTAGATTCATAGTTTATATTCATTTTTAAATAAATTATTGCTAATAGTTTCAATCTTTTTACAATTGTTCATACACTTACAAATGTACACGTAATACATATACATAGAACTTTAAACAAAAACACTACTTACAAAACAATTAGCACAGATGAAGTATAGAAAAATACCTAATATTCAAAGCATTTTGTATCATGCATCGAGATATTTTCTCGTTTTTAAAATTATGATTCGATTCGGAATTAAATCATAATTAGTAATAATTGGAATTAAAATTAAATTCCAATTTAAAATCAAAAAAAAAATAGGGAAAATATTACAGAACTATTATAGAATTGCCACCACTGTTGCCAAGCGATGCTTGCTTCAAAACACTCATATCATATATCAAAGTATATGTTTTTTTTATAAGTTATTATTCTAAAAATATATTGTAAAGACAAAGATGTAATATTTGTATTAAAATTTAAGACACGTAATGAGTTTTGAAAGTGAAATGATGAAAATACTTTCAATCGACATACCATACTTTCTTTGTAATCACGTGTTAAAGCAAGTATAGATAAAGAAAATAAATCCATATGAAAGAAGGATAGAAATTATAGAATTAGCGCCATCTCCAGAATACCACAAATGAAATATACAAGGAAAAGATACACATAGAAAATAGTGAGAAGAGAATATAATATCTATAAAAGAATCGATTTAGTATTATCTTTTGAATATCAAAAATCTTTTCAAAAATATTGAATGCTATTCCTTAATTTTTGCTCTATTTTATTTTATCTTTTTAGCACTCAAAAGATGGTGCTAAAGACCAATACTTATTATATTTTTATTCTTTTCTCACTACTTTCTATTTTTTCCTTGTGTGTTTCATTTGTAACATTTTTAAAGATAACGCTAACTTTTATTATATCTCTATCCTTCTCATACATTTTGCTTTTTTTTTTATATTTATCAAAGATATTTTTTCAAAAATATTCAATATTGTCTTCAATTTTTACTCTACCTTATTCTTTGAAAAAATATCTTTAATACTCAAAAGATGGCAATAAAGATCAATTCTTATTATATCTCTATCCTTTTTTTACTATTTTCTATTTTTTCTTTGTGTGTTTCATCTGCGGCACTCTATAGATGGCGTTAATTTCACAATTTTTATTTTATTTCTATCCTTCTTGTACAATTTGTTCTTGTTTCTACTTGTTTTATAAAACTTATGGGAATATTTGCAAAAAGATATATCAGAAAAATTATTTTTATCTATTTTTGAATTGAATATAATTCTTGCACTCGTTATTAAAGTTGTAAAGGGTATAATTAATTTTCATATAATTAGTATTTTATAACAATATGAAACATAAAATTAAATATTAAATTCATTTTATATCTTATCTCTGTAATTGTATCTAACCAACGAATGGTAATATATGTCTGCATTTATTAACTGTGTCATGTGGCGCCACTGTATATCTGTTACGGTTAGAATTTAATAAACTAATTGATTTACTTATCCTCTTATTATGTCGTTATTGTATCGTATATTTTACAATATTAGTGAATAATTTTTAATCATATATCTTAAACGGAACAGTTATAATATTAAGAAAAATTATTTGTGATATTTTTTTCATTTGGATTAAAAATTAAGAAGAAATGCACTTACAAAGAAAGAAATATGAACAAAAACAATAAATTATTAAAAAATAATTTTTCATTATTCTGTTATAAAATAAGATGTATTAAACGCATATATATATATATATATATATATTTTATAATATATTTCAAATAAAAATATCATTTATGATAATTATTTATGATTTTTTAAAAAAATAATTTTAGATTTCAAATTTAACAATAATTTTTTACAAATGTTACAAAATTACATAGCATAATATTCAAAATATTAAATGGTAATAAGATTATTTTTGCATAGTTATAGGTAAAAAATCAAGGCCGTTCGATGTGATCACATTACGCTACACAATAGAAATCAAGAAAAATAGAAGTTCGATAGGGTGATTGACATACCGTGCAAGCACGGCCCTGGTTTTGGCCACTCAGTAAGTAGTTGAAGTGATATTTTGGTCGAGCTTGGGACAGTGGGATGGGATATGATTGCCTTCTCGTATTGCCGTGGCTTGAGACATGGACTCTCGGAAGAAAAGAGGAAGAGAGACCGAGCAAAATGATCCGAGAGGCTCCGAGGTGTTGGAAAGGCACGATGAAAGACATATGAGGATTCCAGCGGCGAGATAGGATATGCCTGCCGACTCTCTCTCTATGTTACAGCGAAAATCTTTTGAGATTCACTTTATACGTATTACTTTTCGTTTGTCTGGTTTTTTTTCATAAAATTGGCAAGTATCGAATTATGACGAAAGAATTCTGCAAAAACATTGATTCATTCACACATTTGATTGTAATTTTATGTCAATTTTTTTTTTTATAAAAAAATGTTACAATGTTAAAAAATATATCAACAATATGAATAAAATAGAATTAAAGTTAATTAAATAAAATTTAACATGAAGTTTAAATGGAAGATTGAAATTCTTCTGAAATTTTATAGAGCACGTGGTTCTTCGTGTCAACTTCGGGTGTAAGAAAGACGTCCTTCTATTTACGACATAAGGTAAACTTCTTTTAAGTCTTACGGTTCACGGTCAGTGTCTGTCTTCGGATACTTCGCTTGCTTGGACAGTTTTCATGGCGCTAACAGACATGTCCGTCTTTCTTCCTGTTTTCTTCCTACCATATACATATTTCAATAAAATTAATTTTCATTATGCATTCCAGGAAGTAATATATATATATATATATATATATGTATGAGAAAAAATAGGAACGTTTGCCATTTTGGCTCAAACTTAAATTTATGATCAAACCCAATTTTAAATCATATTTGTTCCAAGTTACTTGACGTCGTGCAATTAAGGAGGATGAGTCGACAACCGGTAATCTATAGTGATTTTATTATTGCTAATAAGTCTGTAGCATAAGCTAATTATGCTCGTTACTTTTCAACATAACATATTATATCCAATTTTAGTTGGTGTATAATAAATTTCGTTTTTTTTTTTTTAAATTTGACGAAATATATTTTCTCTATAAATAAGACATTTAATTTGAATTTGAACACAATAACGCCATTATTTTAATATAATTATCTTACAAAATGTAAAATATTAATTAATTGGTTATAAAAACTATTAAACTATTAATCTATGTTTCCCAGATTTAAATTCAATACTTAAATAAAAGACGAGTTACTTATGGCGCAAAAGAAGGGTGGTGATGACGAAGAAATTTAAGAAGTAGACAGAGACGAAGGTTGCAGACGTAAAGCATAAACAGTCGAGGTGCGATTTGACGCACGCTCGGCCCATCCAAGGCACATCTCGCTCGCTGAACGTACGCTTTAAGAATCCCGAAGAAGCGACCAGCCCGATGGCTGGAATCTGTAAATCTGTCATTGCGGCCATATTCGTGTGGCTGGTACCGCAGGATATGAACTTCTGCTCGTCGTATATGCCACCATCGTACGAGACTCTAGATCTACACGCTTCTCTTCTTTTGAGAGCTTTGCACCGAAACGGAAGCCTCTCCCTATTTCTCGAAATAACAAATATTCTTTTTGTCTTCACAAATTTTTTCTTTTTTTCTTACTTATGTATATATATATATAATAACAAAATAGAAAAGTATCTTTCTATTCTCTTCGCTTCACTTTAAAATTTTAAAGAAAGAATTATCTGATTATAATTATAATTCTTCTGTTCTTATTAATATTTTTCTATTTAACGCATAAATTAACTTTCACTTTTATCGAAATATTATGAAAAATAATTAAATGAAAGAAGTAGCACGAAGTAGGAAAATGGTTGCACTGTTGAATAATTGTTCATTCATTCATTCATCTACTTCTTTTCAGAGTTTCAACCTATTTTTTGTGAGCGACCAATGAACGTTCGAGAGTGGAGTGCGGTTCTTGTCGAACGTATAAAAACCCTTTGGTTGTATCAAAACTGCATGGAAACTATAAAAGCTCCTACTGGCAGTCGCTGCACGTATACGCAGTATTCCCTCTGGTAGCTAGCGATGACGGATTCATGGCCCGTGGGATAACGCAAGACCTCACCCCAAGATGTTTCGGTTTACGGATGCACGCTCTTCCTTGCTTTTTCTTCCTATTTCTCACCTTTTTTTTCTCCTATCTACTGAGCGATTCATTTGTCGGTCTTTGATCCGTAACCAACAAGCTACTACCGGAAAATTAGCGAAATTTATTTAGTTGCTTTCCTTATCCGTCATTTTATTCTTCTTATTTCTACTCCTACCTGTCATTTCCTCTTCTATGCACATAGAATTTCATTCAGGAATAATCCACGAATTTACTTATCTTTTTTCTCTTCCAGATAGGATTCAATTAAAAATGGTAATCTGTTGAACATTGCAAAGCGATAATTTTTTTTCCAAATATGTATGTATCCCTTTTAATCGCCTATTTCTTATAAGTTTATTCGTTTAAAAAATATTTTTTTACTTGTAGGTAAATTGACAATCAAATTTATCGAATGATGAATTGAATTCATCGATTATCATTGCAAACGGATTATCGGAAAACACTGATTTCTTCGAATCAATTTCAAAAAGATAAATCTGCAACGACAGCTGATTCCCGCGAAGAAAGATCCCACCAGCAATGCAATGTCACCTAACCCTGGCCAGGGGTTAACTTCTACAGAGCTGGTACCCCTACGAGGAAGATGAAAGAATAAGCGAAGATAGGCCGACGGCAGCTTTTTATTACCGGCGCCGTCACGCGTCACCGATAAGCGCGCTCTTTCTGTTGCCGAAAAGTCTACGCTTGCACCGGTTCTTCCGAAACACGAGATTTCTTCTTTTCCTCTTTACTTCTGCTATCCCCAGCCGAAAGAAACTTCTATTTCTTTTACGAACGCGTGCTAAGAATCTTGACACTTTTGCCTGCGAGAAGTTATGTTAAAAGTAACATAACAATAACGATCAATTATGTCTATCTTTGTCGATTGACTTTATCAATTTCTTTATTCTGATTTTATTATCAATTATTATATCGATATATCGATCGATATATTATTTTCAATGTTGATTTAAAGAGAAATAATTACTTTATTCAAATTTTTATTTTTGCAGAAAACAGATGCGCAGATTACGAACGACTGTGTTCTGTGAATGCACGAGGGAAGATGTTCACCAAGAGTCATTAAGGATACGGTATACTGTAATATGTTTACACAACGAGGTTCCTCGCGTCGCCATCAATCATTGTGCACGCCGGTCTATCCGTTTTTCTGCGCTTAGGAACCGACAAACTGCTACCTCGCTTTGTTGGCATTAGTTTGTCATTTCTAGCAATCTTGATGTCAAATCATGCGCTCCGCGTTCATTTACGTTGAACGTTTACCAAAATTACGTCACAAGCTTTAGCCATTTGGTAAACTTCTTTGACAAATTTTGACTTTGGGAAAGGATAGTTTAAGGGAGTGAAAAAGGAGTTATGTAGTAGAGAAGGGAGAGAATATTCGCAAGAGAGGATGTAAGTGTATAATAATACTTCATCTTCTTTATAAAGCTCTTATTTTTCTTTTTTTTAAAATACGTTACGTTTAACATAAGCAGGCAAAAAAAAAAAAAGAAATGTTTTCGAAACACAATGGTACATGATACTTGTCGAATAATTTATTAAGGCACTTAATAGCCGAGCTCTCTTCTCATGGGTTGTCACGGTGCGTTTACTTTCCCGTCTTGGCTCTCGAGAGCGTTTTAAGCTCGTTTGGCATTTCAGACACCCTGTATAAATAGATGCACTTTGCTCCTACAAAAGGCACTTTCTTTTTCGACTGACTCGCCACGGACCTACGACACTAACCGATTTGTATCGCGCAATTTTATCAACGTGAAACGCAAGTCGATCCCCATACGTTATACAATCTTCGCAAGAGTAAAATCATTTACATTATAATCATTCCTCTTATAGATCTTAATCATAAATATTCTAAATAACATCGAATCATCGGGTTTTATATATGTATCTTTAAATAAATAAAAAATACGATTTTATAAGATCGTATATATCGTAATAATTACTCGGCGATCTTGCATTCTCGAGAAATATAATAAACATATATTACAAACCTACAAACCGACAAACCTACGTTACATAATTTAAATACAACTCTAATAATCCCTTAAATCTAATTTAACATTACGTTACATCTTTGATGACAACTCCAACTCCAATGTCTCTTATTTATTCACTTATACATATATATATAGATATATATATATATATATCTTATTATAAAACGTAACTCGTTAAATAACTCTTCGTGTAAAAAAACTTATCTTCTATCACCTGACATGTTATCACGTTGTTACTTTGGTATCGATTAAAAAAAAAAAAACCACTCCCAACATTTCTCCCCGATTTAATTCTCCAATTTTAAATACGCAGACAATTTTACCACGTTTCTTTTTTCCAGCCACGATCACAACGATTCACGCATTGCCATTCGTTCAAAAAAAAATTCCCTATGATGCACCAATTACCGTGGCCCGTATAACGAAGGTGGTCCAGGATGCGAATGATGGTGCGCGGGATAGTGGATAGAATTCATGTGCGGTTGTCCATGGTGTCCAGAGTAGGCCCAAGGTCCCGCCGCCGCCGCTGCCGTAGCGCCGTAAAATTGATGATGCTCTTGGCCCGATATACTCGGGATTTGCACTGCCGGTATCGCGTTCACGTAGTTGGTCGTGGTTGGCAAAATCGTGGTGCCGGTGCCGCCGCTTCCCGTCGCGGCCCTCTTTGCCGGATTCTGCATGCCGGGAACCGTGGCCGACTCGCACTCGTCCGACTCGCAGTCCCGAAACCCTTTCGCGAACGGGTTACTCGCGATCTTGAGCTGGGTGATCCGGTGATTCTGATAGGCGGTCACCGCGGTGAACCGCGTCTCGGGGAAGGTGAACGTTTTGAAATTCTCGGTGCGCGGGTCGGGAGCAGAGCCCGGCGGCGAGGGCGCCACTACCACGTGGCAGCGTGGCTGGTATCGATGCATCGAGTTCAGGATTATCTGCAATCAATCGTGGAAATGAACGGTGCAATTAGGGTTTTTTTTTTCGCAAGATCATGATAGATACGATTGTTGAAGAAGGAAGAGGAGGAGAGAGGGGGGGGGAGAAGAAAAAGAAGAAGGCACACGTGAGGATGTTGCTTCTCTCGGAGGAAGGACTGCCGCAGGGGGGCGGTCACAATGTTTGACAGCCACAAGAGACTCGGTGACTAATTAGTGTAAAAACTAACCCCCGATTTTCTTCAGCAATCCGACACCCTCGTCCTTCCTCTTGCGGGGCACACTTACCGGGGCATATGCCGGGGCATGTGTTTCTTTGAATACACGGAAAAAGGGGCAGGCAAAAAGAGAGAAAGAAGAGCCATCCTCACAATGCGCACGGTGTGTGTGGCCTGAGACACACTGTGGTTTTAAAACCGAAAATCTTTGGACGATTGCGATTTTTCCTTTTCCTTCTTTCTTTGTTCTTTACTTTAATATTCATTAATATCATTCGATCATGCGCTTCTTCTGAATATATATCTTTTCTTTTTTCTTCTTGTTAAAAAGTTTGAAAAAACCAAAGCGATGATAACGTTGAAACATGTTATGTTCGTTTGCTTTGAAAATACGAAACCGCCAATTAAGGGAGTTAAGCGTTTCAACGCTGAATTCCAATTTTTTTTTTATAAAACGCGGTGGGTACGCGTTTTCGAATACGCAATTAAGGGAACAAACTGTTTCGTAGTGAGAGAAGGGATCCCTTCCTCTCCACGAGTCAAAATTTTTTCCGCGTGGAAAGCGATAAATTCTCGAGTGGAACGCGAGCTACAAAGCTTTTCGAGTATTTTGACAGTGAGCAGTGTTCACAAAGGAACGTCCATTCGATCAAAACAATCTTGTTTATTTGTCTCGTATTCTTCGTCGAATAATTTATGAAATTTCTTTTTATATATAAGATTTATTAATAACAACAATTGATCGTTTTGCCTGTCAATTCTCGAATAGTAAATCTATTCGAATTAAAATTTATCGATCAACACGGTCGAATCGCGTCGCAACACCACACGCGCCACGTGCGAATTTTGAAGGAAACGGATCAGGATCAAGAGCAGCCAAATCGATAACAATCCTGAGAGGTTAAATCGTGACATCGCAAACCGCTTTTCGTGCACCGCCTCTTTCGCCATCGATGACGACAATTTGACTGAATCGATCGAGGATGAATTCATTAATCAGAATACGCCAATACGCCGAATCATTTTATTTGCAATACGTGCCCGATACGTTGAATTTGGCACGAATACATAGGAACGATTATTTTTGGCGCAGCAGTGCAGGTGCATTAGGACACAATGAAGAGGAACGAGGAGTTAAGAAGAAGAGCTTTCGACAGCATAAAAAAGAATAATAAGAAAAATTTACTTTTCCACGCTTTCTGTAATTTGAATAAATTTTTCGAAATAATTCGATCCGATTCGATAAATTGTCACACAAATATGCTGATAAAATGTAAAAGTTTTCGAAACAAAATATTATATATTTTTCTCGTTGGCTAATATTTATAAATTTCCAGCGGTATCGCGGAGAGTGAAAAATATTCTTCCACGCTGGCAATCCTTTCGAAAAGTCGTAAACAAGTCGAAAGTTTCGCCGTCTTTTCCCAGGCTTCTAGGGTTCAGTTTATATTACATATGTTTACGTTACTTTACGGTGCGGTATAGTTTCCATTGGCCGTTTCTCGTGGCGACAGGAGAACAGGATTAATAAGGCGCGGACAAGGGAAGATCTAAAGAGTATACAAAGTGAGAGGTGTGCTCGCCTCGTAGAAATACGACGAAAGCTAATGATAGACTTTTGATATTAGCGATCACAACTTTAACCCTTTTTGCACTCGTATTTATATTCGAGAAGGTTACCGACTCGGAATTTTTCTAGGAATATATTACAAGTTAACTTGTCGTTTTAGTAAAAAAAATTTGAAAAATAAAATTATTATTATTATTATCTTTATTATTTTTATTTATTCACTTTATTTTATATATACACACATTAACTTTAAGCAGAGACTAAAAGATAACATTGTAACAAAAGTCCCTAGAATGTAATACTAATATACTGTATTTGTAAAATGTAGGATAGTGACATACGAGTACAAATGGTTGAACCACTGTTAGTTACTGTTCCGTGAGCCTGCGTACATAGAGATACGTAGAAATCAATGGAACAACCGATTTGTTGAATCGATTTAATCGTGACTTTATTCGTGAAGAAATAACCATTTATCACGGGAAGGATTCTAAAGGAAGTAAGAGTCAATGGACTCGTTGGCCACGCGATAACGTTCCATCTGCCAACGAGGCATAAATCCGAGGAACGTGTTAAAACAATTATCGCTACTAATTACTCGTAGGACTGTAATAGCCTCTAATGGAACCATACCTCATTGTCATCGTACTTTGTAACCGCTATCATCGTCTTCATTCAACATTAATTTTTTCGTTAATTCGATTTCGAACGTATATATATATATATACATGAAAACGAAGCTTGATTATTTTACGATTAATTAATGGGGATGGAAAAGAAGGAAGGGCGAGACATTAAAAGACGAATCGTCTCGTAAAAATGAACAACGTGTCGGTCCCACCGTTGTAATTCTTCGCGGAAGACGAGGCTCGTATCTCAGGTCAATTAAGGCGAACTCGTCCGTAAACGACAAACACGTGGAACGCGACGTTGCCGTGAAAACTTGTCTCGTATCCCTCATTCTACTTTATCGCGCAGGTGTTTCTTCCTCGGTCCATTTTTAAAACCGCAGTGTTAAGACCAATTTGTCATAGAATCGATTTCGAAATCGTAACGAATTTAACAAAGCGTTTTTAACAAAGGAAAAAGTAATCACGCGATAGAGAGAAGAAAAAGAAACGTCATCAACTTACGTGCCCGTTGTCGTCGAGCTGATTGTTGGTTAGTTTCAACTTGTCGAAGGAAACCGGTTGCTTCATCCAATGAGCCCCGCTCGCAGGGCTGTCCGGGTGTACGTGAATCCTCGGGGGCGAGACTGGATCCGCTCGGCCAGCAACCACCCAAGCGCTGCTGTGGAAAGCGTATCTGTACCTCTTGTCATCGCAGGGCACGAAATCCATCACGAGCAGGTAATCGGTGGTCGGATCCAATCCGAAGAATCGACACTGCGAATCAAATATTACATATATATATATATATATGTTCTTTTTTATCGATCGTGTTATGAAATTTTAATTCGGAAAGCGATTTCTTTTTTTTATATTTACGAAGTTTGTCAACTCGGAATTTTTTTTGGGAATATATTAGAAGTTAGCTTGCCGTTTTAGTGAATAAAATATAAAAAATAAATTTTATCTCAATCCGTTAATCAGTGAAAACAATATATAACAAGTGTATATATTACGTATATATTATTACAATCTATATATATATATATCTTTTATTCGTTCATTTTATTTTATATACACACTAAATTTAAGCAGAAACTAAAAGAGAACAACTTGTAACAACAAGAGTCCCTAGAACTATAATACTAATAATAAATATATTTGTAACAATAAAATGTATGACAGCTATGTGTACGAGTTGCAACAATTTAATCCCCACCTGAAAAGTGGGGAACATCCTTCTCCCAGCTTTGGTCACGATCATCTCTGTTCCCAATTGATGAAATTCTTCCCAAAGTGGTTTCGCTTCGAGGGCGGCTCCAGCCCCGACAAGGGCGGGGTGAAGAGGCCTCTTCGAGCAAATCTCCTCCGACGAGTTCGCGCCGTTCTCGCTCGACGAACGATGATGATTATGATGATGATGGTGATGGTGATGATGATGATGATGATGATCGCCGTGATGACGATTGTTGTTGTTGCTGTCGTTACGGGACTCGGCCACGGCGGCGGCCGACGAAATCGACGACGAACTCGTGGTATTCGTGGGTTGGGGTGTCAGCGAATCTGTCTTCGACAGATTTGGGCTGCGGGATCGTTTCACCCTTCCCGCCGATTGCAAACATGCTGATAATCGTGAAACGATTGATTAAAACGAGGGGAAGAGGGAGGGAGGAAAATTTCTTGAAAATTTACTTCAAAGGAATTACCTTCCATTTGTTGCATCGGGGACGGCAAGCTCGTCGTCACGGGTTGTGCGTGTTGGCTTTGATGATGAGAGATCCATTGTTGGTAACAACAATCAGCGGTGATGTCGTGTCGTTGATCATATTGCTGTTGCATTTTTACCGATTCTCGAGTCGCATCAAGGAGATCGGTTTGTTCCAAGTTTTATGGATTTATTTCGTTCATCGAGATGTGATCGAGAAAGACTACGGAAAAAAAAAAAAAAAAAGATCCGTTTATCTGCTTATTTCGAAATCGAGAATGAACGACTTTTGCTTGATTGATCGTTTAGAATTTATTTTAATTTAAAAAGAAAAAAAAAAAAAAGAAAGAAAGAAAGAAAGAGAAAAATAAAAACGCGCAAAATCTTCCTTCCCTCTTCGACGATTCGATGATCTTGATCGCACAATTTAATCACTTCGATGCGACGAATAACAAAACTTTCACACAGCACGTTCCAAGCACTTGTACAACTTTTTCTTTCATATCGTTTCTCGCCGACACTTCTGCTTTTTTCCGAGGGGGAGGGGGAGGGGCGAACTAACTTCGATTCGCATAAAACAATCGGGCGACGCGCCGAAATACCGTCGTTGTCGTCGTTGAAACACACCGAGGAGAGGAGAAAAAAAAGGAAGGAAGGAAAGGAAAGGAAAAGAAAGGGGGGTAAAAAAAAAAAAAAAGAAAAGAAAGAAATCGGCGAACGGAGATTCGTAGAATGCTTATCTTTCGTGACCGCTCATTAAGCGTTTCAAGGCAATCAGCGAGGTTCGAGATCCTGGGCGAATATCAGAGGTTGCTCGACATCGTGGACGGGATCTCACACCTCTCGTCAACAGGGCTTGTCCTCACCTCGAGATCCGGACGCTGACAAGGCTTAAAGCCGTGGCGTGGACGCGGCATCGGATGAATCAGAAAGAACTCCCCCGAGTCGACTACATCTCGTGGCTTATCATCGAGACATCACTCTCCGATCTACTGCCCTCTCTCTTTTCACAGAAATCTCCTCCTCTACTCTCTGCCGGTCTCTCCACTCCAAGGAGGAGGTGAATCGTGGATCGAGAAACGTGGAAGAGGAGGATCGAGGAAGGAAGGGAAAGTTTTTACGAGGGAGGAGGGGTTTCCCGAAGATCCTCCTACGCGGACACCCACGCTAGCCCAACTTGCGTTCGCGAGATGCTAACTAAGTACATCCTCTTCCTCCAAATCCCGTGCCAAAAGGCGGAGTCTTCGTGGACGGGGACAAAACACTCGGGGGTAGCTAACGGTACATTCCCAGGGACGAGGCTCGGATCTCGTGCACCTCGTAGCTACCAGCCTGGTCGCCGGGGTTAATTTAAAATAACGTGCCGATTCCGTGTCGTATGCGATACGATGACACCGATGAGTCGATTCCCTTTCGACTGTTGTTATCTTCTTCGAAGAAATCTTTCTGATTTTATAAATACATCTTTTTTCTTCTTTTAAACGAACAAATGTTCATAATTGATCTTAGAATTTAATTTAATTTAATAATCGATTTAATAACATCTTCCAATTTATTTTCATTTTTATTCTCGATTGATTTTTAATGATTGGTGGTTTTATGCCTAATCTTTGTTCGAAGTTTTTTTGTTATTTTTTTTTTTTTTTAAAGTTAATTCCGTTTCTTGAAAGAAAAACTTAAGAATTAAGAATTTACCAGAAAACTTTTATTCTTTGATAAAAATTTTTTTTCCCCAATACATAGTATCACTCTAAAAGAATGTCATTAAGTACAAACTATTTTGAAATTGTTATATTTTCAATTCTTGTAATTATTATATATATATATATCGATAAATTATATATAGATATATATATGTATGTGTGTGTGTGTAATTCTATTATTTATTTTAAGATAATTCTATTATTAATTTTAATGATAAACGTTCATTTGAGAATCTATTTTAAAGATTTTTTTTGTTTATAATTTATACATAATATGTGTCGATTATATATACGAAATTTCGAATATCATCTTATATTCGATCACGAATACAGTTCGAGTTTAGATTATATATGTACATGTATTTGTTATTTTGACATTGATCTAAACTCATATCGATCTAAACTGTTAAAATATCCAAGAAATACTAAAAAATAATTGAATAGTGTATTTCGTTGAAAATGGATAAAATTGTACAATTAATTATGAACTTTATTCGATATTACTCGCAACATTATTAATAGTACCAGTAGGATTTTAAATATAATATTAAATATATGTACAAAAATTATATATGTGTGAAAAAAATTAAAGATTAGGATGATTCTATAAAGTATGAATATATATATATATATATTAAAGGCTCAACCAAAGATATATGTTAGAATATGAATGAGAACAAAAAATGGTGAATGAATGTTTTTTCGTGAATTTTATTTATAAGATAGAAATTAATGTACAAGTACAAGGGAGGCAGACATGATAGGTGTTTGTTGCGCTGATTTTTACAGAACAGTATCTTATAATGATTTCTTCTTATATACGATTCGTACCTGTGACATCACTGAAAAATAGTTTCTACATACATGATACACGAGAAAAAAACGTGTCAAAAGAATGAACAAGACTGATAACAAAATATAAATATATGTGCATGAAATTAATGAAATTATTCTCGACAAAAGGGACCGTTAATGTTTATAGGGGATCGTATTATGATAAAATCCTTACAAATCGGGGTTTCTTCTTATATTCCTTGTTTTTTGAATCTTATGTATACATACATATGCATAACTTTGCTACTTGCATTATACACATTTACAGCCTATTCTTATTAAATTAGCTCTATAATTTCCTCCCAGAAATTAGTAACCACAATGACATCATGAAGAATCCAATGAAACTTCACGGATACAATACTTTTATATATGTCATAAATTTATTCTGGCATACAGGTGTAATAAGTAAAGAATATATATATATACATAATTATATTGCATATATAAATATTATATACATATATTCTTTCGTAAGTCTTTTATCTTTTATTTTCTTTTCTTGTTTTTAAAAATATTCATTGAAATTGATTTCCACTGAACAGCTAAAACATTCTGTTATTTTTTTTTTTTGCGGTTTATAAAAATTTAATTACAAAAGCACATTCTACAAAAACGGTCTCTTTACGAAAGTCGTATCTGTATGTCACTTACAAATTTTGTGCAATTTACAGAATAAATGTAATAAAGCCGAATTTACGTATCACATTTAAAATATTCGTCAAAAACCACTATATTCGATATTATATATATATTAATAATCTCATTAATAAGGTAAGTATGCATGCCATCGAAGCAAGGAATGGCATAATAAAATTGCCTCTTAAATTGTATCAATTATACCATGCCATATTCTTTAATCAGTGATATCGCAAATGATCTCTAAATTGTTTATTCTACAAAAACATCGAGGAAAATATTAAGCAAAGAATCGAGAATGAACGTGCCAAGAAGTCTCCTTACAGTTTGGAATAATATATTCTTCTAATAGAATTTCATAATAGCTGTGACGAATTTCTAGTCTATAATCTTGAGTAACTGAATTTATTTTAATTTCTTTATAGACACTCATTTAATAACTTCTTTTTTCTTTTGGTTTAAACTGTTCTATTAATAAAGAACTTTTTTTTTTTCGCTTAGCAAACTATGCCCCTCCAGATTTTTTTTCTCTTTTTTCTTTTTTACTTAAAATGTGATCGTTAATGTATGAGCAGAATACAAGAATAAATTCGAAAATAATATGGTAATAGCGTTGATAATAGTAATAGCGATACTAGGAGAAATAATAACAATAACATCTTTTCTCTTACAAGAAATTAATGTCTTAAAAGACTATGGGTTTTAAGGGAGTTATTTTAAAGTTCTAAACATTGCATTCAAAAAAAAAAAAAAAAAAGAATGAGAAACAAATCTAAGGATTTCACTTCTTCTTGCTTTTGTTATTTCCACCACCTCGCGGAGGTGTCACTGGTCTATTTGCGTTCAAGCCTCCATACGTTAATTTCTTCTTGTCGGCTGGTTTTAGAATTTGGAAACTACACATTAGAGTTTCATCTACGGACATCATAGCTCCAGCATTATCGAACTCGCCACAATAATTTGGTGCCGAAAACAAGGTAACTAACTGTCTCTTTGCGAAAAATTCATAACCATCTTCTACTACCTAAAATTTTTTTTTAATTTTACAATTTTTTAATTAATAAATTACAAAATTATAAATATCATTCATAAATTGCTAATATTTCATGAAATTGAATAATTAGATTTAAAATAAATAATATATTAAAACTAAAGATATTTTATATTATAAGTACCTGATGGGCACGACATATGAGGTCAAAATCATGTTTGTGTAAAAATTTAGCAACAACTTCAGCTCCAAATGTAAACGATACGCCACGATCATTTTCTCCCCAACCCATCGTATCTTTGTCTGGATCAGACCATAATAAATCGCATAATAAGCCTTGATCAGGTACATCTGTTGGTCGCATGATACGTCTGATCTGTTCCATATTTTGTAGATCTGGACTAAGGCCACCATGGCAACAAAATATTTTTTCATCAACTATTGCTGCGACAGGTAAACAATTGAAACAATCCGTAAATGTTTTCCATAATTTAATGTTATAACGTCGTTTACCTAAATAGATATTAGAATATAAATTTATATTAATATTTATATATTTCAAAATAATAAATTATTAATATTTAAATGCATTTTCTTACATTCATCATAAAATCCATATATCCTATTAATGGATGCACATTCATGATTTCCACGAAGTAAGAAAAAGTTTTCAGGATATTTGATTTTATAGGCAAGAAGGAGACAAATTGTCTCTAAAGACTGTTTTCCTCTATCAACATAATCTCCTAGAAATAGATAGTTACTTTCTGGTGGAAATCCACCATATTCAAATAGTCGTAGTAAATCATAATATTGACCATGAATATCACCTTAAAAATAATTTTAAATAATAATTTATATTATAATCAAATAAAAAAATAAGATCTAAATTATAAAACAAAATTAAAATTTACCACATATTTTAAGTGGTGCTTCAAGTTCTAACAGAATAGGTTGCGATAGAAAAATTTCACGTGACTTCAAGCAAAGTCCTTTTATTTCTCCTTCTGTCAATTGAACATTTTTTCCTGGCCTGGCTCCACGCACTAAAAGATTAAAGTTTCTTTGCTTAACAATATTTGCTTTGATCAAATTTATCTTCTATAATTTTTATTAATATTATTAATTAATTTATTTTTTCATTCAATTTGTTGAATATAAACAAATACTAAAATTTATACTTAATTTAAGCGATAATAATTAATATATTAAAAAAAAATCTTTTAAAAAAAGAAATAAATAATATATTGAAAAATATAAATTAAATATCTAATATATATATTCGTTTACCTGTTTAAAATAAGGAATTAAATTTTTTGTTTATAACGGTAATATTGAAAATTTTAAAACAAATTTTCTAGAAGATAATTCAATTTATTAATATATTTTAAAGACACATATAAACAATAAACAATACAGAAAAAGAAAGACAATATTAAAAACGTCAAAATATATGGTAGTAATCGTGTAAAATAGTGATAAAAATGTTCGAAAACTTCTATTACGCAGTGTTAATTTTATTTTATGTAAACAAGCAACTGCTAGTTCATTTAGAATATTTCAAATCGGTTATATTTAAAGAAAATTGCGTAATCGATCAAAGAAAACAGATAAGTAGAAGAAGATAAAAAAATAGTTTAAAAAAGATAAAAGACATAGTATCTTCGAAAAAATATTCATTCGAGTTGTAAAATACATGTATGAAAAAAGTATAACAAAGGGTGACGCGGGCGACAGTTTGTCTCATTACACCCCCCCTCAAGGAGGGCAAATGAGTAGCTTTACCTTCCAAGAGCCGAGCTATGATGTTGTCAATATTAAGTTTATCAGATTCAGCCATCGGGCCGTGGTATTGTGCGCGTCCCGGGCTTTACACGGAGTACCTTCTTTTAGGGATGACCTTTGATTTTCGTGGATTTCACTACTGTGGCACACAGCACTCAATTGCATTCGCGGTTTCGGACAATGTACCCGCAATGGCCGCCCGGACAACCGCGCACTCCACTCCCTTTTACCCCCTCTACAAGTTCGAGCTCTTCCTATTCGATAAATTTCGATCGGTCGATTTATCGAACACAATACGTACATATTCGTAAATATGTGTATATACTGAATTTGTAATTTTTATGAAAAAGAAAAAATTCATAATTCTGATATTTTCTGATATTAATTAATGGAATTATAATTTTCAATTATAATTGAAATAAAAAATTATTTTAGTTATTAATAATTTATTTATATAATAATTAGAAATAATTAAATATATTAAAATAATTGTTTCATGTGTGGTTTCAAGTAAACACAAATATAAATGAAACTAAATATAGGGAAATTTTGTGATAAAATTTATTATTAAATTCCCCATATCATTTAAAGTTATCTCATTTTTTGAAATATTTATTTTAATAAATTCGTAAACGATATATTTATAAATAATTTTATTTAAATTAAAAATTTAAAAATATTTCGGCATGTACTTTTTATACAATAGAAAACAGTGATTGTAAATGTCTTAAACATGCACCTATGAATTATCATGGAGGTCTATTATACAATATCACGGTTTACTATTAAGCAGGTTGAATTGGCGGTATTTATTAAGTGATTGGATAATTTCTTTTACAAAACTGATAAAAAATGCCAGAAAACGTGGTAAATATAATATTTTGTTTTTTATAATCCCATATTATTGTTATTAGTGTATTAATAAATAAGTTTACTATAATTATTTAATTAAAATTTTCCAAATGACGCTATAGGTTATATTGTCGCGTCCATTTAGAAACAAAACAGTATATCGTTCATATATCTTCATTTCGCTTGAAAAATATTTCATTTTTATCAATTAGAAATAATAGAATCTTCGATTATATAATTTTTATATTTTTTAATCTATAAATTATTTTAATTTACAGATAAATGGAGATCATGTTGATGTAAAGAGTGCTAATTGTGAAGCTCAAGATAATGACGAAGATAACAATGAAGCAGATGTACATTTTGAGCCAATAATTTCTTTGCCATTAATAGAAGTTTCCAACAATGAGGAAGATGAAGTTGAAATGATAAAAATGTAAAGCTTTATTTTTTTCTGAATTATTAACATATGTATATGTCATTGTAAGTTTTATTATATATTTATATTGTTTACAGGAGAGCAAAATTATATCGTTATGATTCTTCTAATAATCCAGCAGAATGGAAAGAACGTGGTACTGGAGAAGTAAAATTATTAAGACATAAAACAAAAAATACAGTAAGAGTTGTAATGCGTAGAGATAAAACACTTAAAATTTGTGCTAATCATTTTGTAACTCCTTGGATGGAATTGAAACCTAATTGTGGTAGTGATAGAGCATGGGTATGGAGTGTACTTGCTGATTATGCAGATGAACAACTTAAGCCAGAGTTACTTGCTATAAGATTTGCAAATGCAGAAAGTAAATATATTATTAATGAATAAATATAAATAGAAAACATAATTTTAAATATTAATTATAATTAATGATATTTTTTATAGATGCAACTGTTTGGAAAGAAGCATTTGAAAAAGCAAAGAAGATAGTCGGATCTGAATGTGAGATATATGCTGGCAAAAATAATACAGAAGAAAAACATGTTGAGAGTGATAGTGAACCTTCTAGTGATGTAAGTTATAGTGAAAGTACTGATAATGAAGAACAAGATAAATTGGCTGAAGGAGATTTAAAAATTAAAGATAATGAAAAAGTGGAAGCTTCTGAGAAACAAGTAAAAGATGAAGAAAGTATGGACAAAGTGTCTAAAGGACTTGAGCAATTGCAAGTTGAGGATGAGAAAAAGTAAAAATAAAATTTATATCTCTGAATTAGAGATGTTATCTATAAGTGCACATTCCAACATAAACATACATCTATGCATATGTTTAATATTTGATCAGTGAATTTAATGTAGGGAAATATTTTAACAACAACGTTAATAGATGAGTTAAACAAATTTTCAATATTTATACAATCGTTATATGTTGTCTGTGATTTCTTAATGAAGAATATTTTAGCATTTATACTATGATGAAGAAGTTAACACATTAAATTTAACAGGAATAAGAAATTAAAAAGTAGAACAATTGTTTAATTCTATATGTTTGAAAATTTACTTGGTTATAATTTTATTAAATTTTTTAAACATCTTTCCTTCTATAATATATATTTTTATACATCCATGTGCGTTTCATGGAAATTAACATAATATTAAAATTTGAATGTTTACAGGAGGATATCTGTTTTTAAAATTTGAAAGAAGTTTTTTAAATATTTTATTTCTTTTAAATATTTTTCCAATTTTTTTACAGCTATTATAAATTGCAGTTTTGCATTACAAATTGTAGAGATATTGGAATGATTTGAAGTAAGGATTGACATCTTTAACTTTTTCTGGTTATTTTATGATGTAAAAAATTAATTGTAAAATATTGGATTTAAAAATGATTAATTATTCAATTTCAATATGATATTATTTTTATAAAAGTATGCATAACAAAATTTATAATATTATAATATGATAATTTCTTCATAATTCATCTCTGTATAAGAAAGAATGAAGGATATTACGTTTTTCTTCCATTGTGCGTTTCTTTTCATTTGATAATTTCCCTTTTAATATGCCTTCTATTCTTGTTTGTTCTGTTTGAACAAAAACATCTCCTTTTTCTAATATTTTTTCCATAGTTTTAACATAAACTTTTGCCGCAGCGCGTTGTGTTTCGGGTAATGTTTCTTCAAAGACTTTAGCTTTGTTTAATATCTCCTACGAAATAAAAAAAATAATTATAACTTATAAATTATTATTTACGTGTATATGTATATATATATTTACATATATATATATATATATATAGCACACATACGTAAATATATATTATGTATATAATATAATATTACCTTTCTTTCCGATTCTCCGCTAGTTCTAAATTCTTCAGCAAGTCTATCAAGTTGTTCCACACAACCGGGTAAACCAAGATATATTCCAGACTTTGTTTTAACAAATCGTTTTATATTATCCGCGGTAAAATCAGTTTCTTTTTCTGCAACGAATAGAATAGGATCTGTTTTTCCTTGAAGAAATAGAAGAATAGCGGGAAAAGCTTCGGACTTTATTTTATATCGACTAGCAAGATCAGAATTGTCTTTATTGCCATAATCTTTCACTCTCACTTCAGCTACCAACAAATCATGGGAATCTTTTGTTGCGGCAGCTATTTGCGCGTATTGTTCATGTTTTTCTCCATATGGAAATGCCACATCAAATTTAACAATTGCAGCTTTGAATTTCGGTATCACCTATATTATGAACATTACAATATTATTAAATATTTATACAATAACTTGCGTAATAAATATTTAAATCAATAATACATTTATAATAAGCGAATGTTTTTTATTCATCAAAATAATAATACTTATTATTCGCTTATTTTATTCGCTTTGTATTAAAAAAAAAAAAAAACAAAATATATAAATATACTTTCATATGTATTAATATATATAATTTCTATTATATAAATTTTTATATTTTACATATATATATATTAGATATATATCTATGACGTAACTAAGCGTCTTGTAACTATGGTAACAAATTATCTAATCAACAAGATAAAAAGAACAAAGAAACTTAAAAAAATAACTGATTTTTGTTTATTTTCAAATAACTACTTTTTAAGTCTATTAATCTAAGAATTAAAATTATATTTTTTTTATATCACTTTCAATGTATTCATAAGATACCTTGTCAAAGGAATAAGAATCCAGAGAAACACATCCTTTGCAATCTTCGGCAGCCGCAATTCCAATAAGAAGAAATATTACAATTGATGAGAGCATGTTATAACTGGCAGGAAACTATGAATAACTTTTTAGATGCTTTTTATCATTCAAGAAATGATAACTTAGTGAAAACAATTCTTTTAGCGATGTGCGCTACGTATTAACCAACTTCTTGATTATCGCACGTTTTCATAAAGTTGGCAACCAGTCATATGTAAATGTAACTAAAAGAAGAGAAATGTAAAAAGAGCTGAATAGTTATATCGAACTTCTTCTTCTAGTTACTACTTGAAAATAACCTCAAATGTTACAGTACGATGTGCTTGATTAAATACAGGTGAAGCAAATGCGGCGCTTTAGCGCTGACGAATCAGAAAAGGACACGAAATCGTACGTTACAGGACAGTATATACTTACTTTCTTAAGTATATGTGCTTATTTAGATGTTTAATTGCAAATATCATAATCTTGTAATAATGTATATTTAGAAAATACTTTAAAGTTTCTCTTTTATAGAAAAAATATATAATATTTGCTTCCTCTTATAGATATATATTAATTAATAATTCAAAAAAATATTTTATTAATTTTTTTATTTTTAATATAAATCATTTTATAACATTTTTTGAAACATATTTATTTTGAAAAAAAATATTGAAAAGAATGTTTTATATTATCAGTGAAAATAATATAAATTGAATCAGTTTATTTATAATGATAGAATTTTACAATTGTTTAATGTGAATATATCAAAGATAATTAAATGCTTTTAATAAAATTTTAAGCATTACAATTATTTTATATCATTGATTGATTTCTGAAATTCAAAATAATGAAATGAATATTATAGTTTTAAATTATTAAAATTACGAAAAAACAATGAATGAACGAAAAATATAAAAACGTATGAAGAAAAAATAAATAAAAAATTAATTAGTATAATTATACACATGTAAAGGAATGCGTAATTATTAAAAATTATTAAAAAAATTAATAATACAATATAAAAAATATTAATTATGTTCAACAATTTTAATGTTCAAAATCAATATAAAAAGAGGAAAAAGAATATAAACACGGAAATATTTCAGTACAAATTTGTTGTCAAAGAATCAAAAAATGTTTCTATTTTTATAAAATATGGTTGTAATATATACCATGATGTATAAAAAGCTCAAACAATATACACATATTTGACCTCTTTCAATTCAAACAAAATCATAGTACGCAATCGATTTGAGATCAAAGTCTTACTCAATGAGTAAGACATGTCTGTGTATATTTATGTTGCAAATGAGAAGAATATGCACAAAATTGAGGTGCAGTGATTTAAAAGGATGGATAATGAATGTTTAAAAAAAATTGTTTAAATTGGCATTTAATCGATTATAAAATCACAATTGAGCGAAGGATAAACTGTATGGGGTGCAAAAGATAGAGCGGGCAAGAGAGGGTGTTAGTTACTAGAAAACAGGTATCCGCCGTAGGCGTCGTACGTTCATTGATAAGCGTATAACGCCCCGTGCCTTAGTCTCGTGACGTCACTCAATCGCAAGGACGCCTGCGCTTCTGTCAGGGCCGTGCCTATCACGAGGTTCTTGCTCTCATATTTTTTTCTATCGGATACCAACTACGTAAGTCAGTTCTTGATGTCATTATTGATATTTAAATATGTATATCGATAACTTCGTATTTCGCACATTGCAATTTATTATACAATATTATAAGTTACAAAAGTATAATAATATGAAATAATGTTTTATAAAATATATCATGAATTTAATAAGACTAATATGATTACTTTGTATGTTATATAAATACAATGGCTTTCGAGAAGAATTTTTTTCTTAATGTTAGAAATTTTATATTGAATTTTAAAAACAAAAAAGAAAAGAAGAAAATGAAAAAAATCTTAATAATTAATAAATTTAAAATTTCACAAAACTTGATTTTTTTTTTACTTTTTTTCCTATTCATTCTGGATGATATTTATGTACACGCTAGATGATGTTTATACCATTGAAAAATAAAGTAAAATGAAAGACAAATACACGGAATGACGAAGAGAAAGAGAGAAAATAGATTCAACACAGAGACAGAATATAGTGAATATAAGCATACTGCATATATAGGTAAGTGAAAAGAGAGGATGGATAAATAGAGGAGAGGAAAGTCAAAAGAAGAAGGAGAGTGTATAAGAAGAGAAAAAAAAAGAGTAAGAAAGATAGTTAAAAGAATAAAAAGGGAGAGAAAGATCAGTGGATTGTCTTACGTGTATTGATTGGTCTTTTATAAAAGCTACATCCCCATGTAGCTATGAGATAAACCCTTCTTTAAAGTCACTAGACTTTCAAGGTGTATATATTAAATTTCGAGCTAGCTGTTCTAACACGCCATGTTTAATTTTCCCCGATTAAATCTATATTTTTCGAAATTATATTCAGAAAATCATCAATATTATATCAAGTTAATATCATCACGGAAAAATCTTTGTTTTTTTATTTTTTTTTTTAAATTTGAAAAAGACGAAAAAAGAACTGTAGGTTAAGGTGCTATATCGAAGTAAAAAATGACGTAGGCGATCGTTCGTGATCCCTAGCTTTGAAGGGGTTCTATATCGGTATCGATCGTAAAGTGACCCATATCTGGTGGTGACGGGAGTTCCTACCCCTGGCTGCTTTTCCAGTGACAGCACCCCTACCTCCTCTCTCTCTCTTTCTCTCTTTTTCCCGGTCCTCTATCCCCTCTAAGTAACTATACTCCCGCCAGACCCGTGTCTACCCCCACTCGTTGCCCCTTTCTCCGGTGGGCGAGCGAATATACCTCCTCCCCCGTTTTCCAGCAGCCCTGCCGCCTGCCTTCCACGGCCGAGCAGATCTTGGGGCTTGTACGGGATGATAGCCGAGTGAAAAAGCTCGCGAGTCCCGTGAAGTTCGCTCATCAGCAGCAGCAGCCCTGGCCTGCCACAATCCCTTCGACTCGGTTATCGTAAGTGTCGTGCATCTCGTGAAAGAACGAAGCAAGCATCATGAACAGCCAGTACGAGAGTTTATATAAGATTGAATGGAAGAGAGAAAAGGAAGGAATAGAAGTTTGTTAGTTTTGATTGAAAAGTAAGAAAATGAGGGAGAATGAGAGAGAGAGAGAGAAAGGGAGATAGAAATAGAGAAAGAACGAGAGAAAGAGAGAGAGAGAGAGAGAGAGAGAGTGGAAGA